AATATATATATATATATATATATATATATATATTTACATATCTGAGGATTTCCAGAGTGCCGCCGCGATTTCTGCCTGTTTTATTTAAACCAGTTACTAAATGTTTCCTTTTATTGTCTTACTTTACGGCCCGAGATATGAGAGACTCGTATCGCCCATACGAGGAGCGCGCATGTGGGCAGGTCGACTAATAAGCACAATACTATGCCTACCCAAGGTTGTGCGTTTCTCCGTATGTGAAATAGAAGTTGCAGAGAACTGAAGCTAAAATTTGATTAGGCAGGCAGCGCAAAATTCCACATCAAGTAGGGGGCCAAAAGAGTGGTCACCTGCTCTATTAGCGTGGCCGGCGCAGTCAAGATTCTTGCAGATTGCCCCAGACACGGTGCGCAGTGTGGCGCGCTTTCCGTTTCCGGTGGCCATGCGCGCATGTGATAAATGGCGTCGCGACAAAAGCTGTGTGTGCGTTGATTTTCACAACAGTCGCCTGCACATGCTTCGATTTTATGCTTGTTTTTGGGTCAGAGCATCCTGATTTTGGGTTTGGCGCCGCGACGGTTTGCAGTTTTTTGGTGCAGGACACTATTACTGTCACGTGCTGGTCTCAACTGAAGTGGTCGATCATTCTGAGATCTCGAAGCTCGTGGTGACCGCGTTTGACAGACACGTGACAACTAAGTATCACCTTGTACGGCAGGTGTAGTACACATGAAACCAGCACCTGGCTCATATATTTTTAACTGGGATTTCTCCATTTTTTCATTTCGCGTACTTCTCATTAAAACCTGAAGCGATGGTGTGATTGTACCCTCGCTTGGACAAGTTGCAAATTGACTAAAGGACAACTTGCCGTTGGGGTTCAGAACAAGATGCCAGTACTTAGATGCAAATACTTTCGATTCAATTATTCGGCATGACCGGTTTTGTATGTTCAAGAACTGCATCTCGAAAAGAGTTGCGTTCAAATTTCATTAAGTTCCATTGATTATACTGTATGCTCTCGCAAAGGGCACCCGCAACACAATACATAGCATGATCGCAACAGACCTGTGTCCTTATTCAAACATTTTCATGATATAGTTCAGTTCTTCCACGTTTCTCATGGGTTTACAGTAATACCGTCTGGGGTGACACTTTTGGGTTTGAAACATAATGAGAACCCATAGCAAATCCAGAGTAATCTAATTTCTTTCTTTAAAATCACGGGATTAGACTTTTAGAGGCTGCTTATGCCATTCAGAACCCCTTTTTTATTTACCTCTCAGATATATTCAAATTTGTTTCGCTCCATGAATTTGGCGTCTACTCGACTGCTTCAGGTCGTACATACTCCTGGACCTATTAAAGTCTTGGAATTGGTGGCTCACAGGAGTATAACACGATATTTTGTTCGAAATTTTTCTCACTTCGCTATTGCTTCCTGGATGTGATAAGAAACGCTGTAAGTTCTATATAGTACTCACGATGCTGTGTTCTCTCAGAGACTGTCTCAAACACTGTGAGGTAAGCTGAAATAGCCAATCAATGAGATTTCAAGCATCATTCTAATCGCAGAAAATACGACGTCTTCGAATCAAAACATCCGATCGAAATCTTGCTGAATTATTCTTGCAAGAAAGATCTTTGAGTTTATCGTCGTCGGAGTTCGGGAAGGCCTAATTTGCGTACTAGTCGTAGTGTCGCGATCATACATTCCTCCACGTCTTGTCGAAGTCACGTGCGCAAGGAACGCGTTATTTACCATACGCGTTCCACTGAGAGATCGCGCTTCATCTCGCAGGTTCACGTCTTCCCAACAGACTATCAGAGTCTTTTTCCCGGTCAACTCTTTCAAGACACCACTAACACATAAGAACATCTGGGAAATTGCCAGTGGTTTTTTATTTCCTGATCTGAAGAATATATTGCAAGATATAACAAAATGTTATTCGACACGTCTGTTCTCGACCGTGTTAAGAAAAGACTTAATGGAAGTGCTGTGGGCGAAGATGTGCCGGACACACAGATCATTCCTGTTTTTGAAACGTCTATTTTATTTGGGAATGCCAGCACACAAGAGATTCCTGCAAAAAATGAGGGCACTAAGAAAGTCTCGGAGGGATTAGATGTGCCTCGTGCGATCAGGCTCCCTCAATTGTCATTGGATGAATCCGAGTTTAACAAACTCACACAAGTTATACAACGCGATTTTCAGACCCAGGATGAAATGATGGGATCGACTCAAATCATTCCTGAACAGACGCAAGCTAATCACCAGGATGCAAGCGTCGAGATAGAACAGACCTCTGATAAGGAGGATCAAAATGCAATTCTAGCTGCTGAGTTGACTCATGTTTCTCTCACAGACGAAGAGAATGACTTGCATGAAGAAGCAGATACATCACGCGATTCTTCGATTCAAAAAACTGTCACGACTAAAGCGGAGCTTCAGCATATTGAGCAGGGACTAAGTGAACAGAAAAGACTCAAGAACATTCAGCCCCAATTTGAAGGAAAATCATTTGATCCGACAAAACAATTGCTCGATGCTTTTGAAAGTGACTCAGATGTCGAAGAAGAGGTGAATAGTGAACATGGTGTTCACCTGAGCCCCGTAACATCTCCAATAAAAATTAAAGATGGGAAGCTAGAACACAAGGAGGTCGCTTCGGACTCTGATTTCGAGATTGACGTCTTGGACCTAATATCAAATACCAGCAAAAAGCCGCCACAGAAGAAGAAGCTATCCCCCATTGAAGAATACGCTGAGAAGTTAAAAAAACAATTGAACTCATCTCCAACAAGCTCTCACACTGACATGATTGCACTCGACGACTCTGATTCCGATGGCGATTTCGATGGAACGAAAGACTCTCCAATTCCACAATTGAGCAAGGAGCAGGCCTTCGTCATTAGACAAAAATTCTCAAGGCAGCAATCAAAAGCGAGTGCCAATCATTCCAAATTTCATCCAGAGTCTTCGAGGAAACAAGCAAACTCTCTTTTTAATGAATTGAGACGTGCAAATGCCAAACAAATTTTAGACTTGAAGGAAGGAAATCCTGACTCGGAGCTCATGGAAGAAATCGAGAAGGAAGAGGAAGAGATGGGAAATTTGCTTGAGCGAGAGATGGAGCGAGTTAGAAGAATTCGAAAAAAAGAAAAGCTCTTGGAAAAGACTCAAAAAGCATTACTCGATGATGAAAGCGACGAAGATTATGACGACAAAAAAGCAGAGTATCAGATTGATCAAGAAAGCGAAGTGCCAGATAGTGACGTAGACTCTGAAGTCTATGAGTCTGATGACGAAGAAGATGTGGCCGACTCTGAGGACGAAATGGAAGTCCCAGAAAAACGGACAAACAGAGCTCGCAGAATTATCTCCAGTGACGAAGATGAAGAAACAAATGAATGCAATCTTTTCATGTCGCAGAAGCCTAATCTACCATCTCGCACCGAAGAAAGAACTGATGACAGTTACATGTTTGGAGGCCAGACAAGGGAACCTGGCGACAACGACAGCGACGGTCCCATTATGCAGATTCACAGCGATATGACCCGCCCTGGATCCCCAGTTGACAGTGAAATTGACCAAAATATCGGAAATCTCCGAAGCGAGCTGCACAAGTTGTTTTCAAATCTCCCGCCCCCTACGGCAAAACAGGAATCATCCGTAATAGAGCCGGCTGAAGTCTTACAATATGGACATGTTTCTTTTCGGGACAATTTGTCAACTCAAATAGCTGGAGACGACAACTCTTTTGTGCTGACACAAGTTGATGGGACTTCTTCCCAGGCGACGTCGACTCAGCATAAAAAGATTCTCCATACTCAAGAAGATTCATTTTTAGGGGAGGAAGATGACGATATCCATCTAGCTCTAGATAGAGGGCGGACTGCAATTCGTGCAAATGCTCAACAAGCAAACCTCTCGGACGTTCGGCCTGCTCCAAGTAGTGACGAGGAAGCTGAAGAGGTTTCAGAACAACTACTCCAAGAACGACTCGCAATGTACGAAGCTAAAATTCGAAGAAAGGAACTCAAGGCTAGAAAATTGCGAAAAGAAATGGAAAGAAAAGGCATGAAAGGAATTGTTGAGGGTGAGGCTGAGGAGTCTGATGACGAGTGGAAAGGAATTGGGGGTAATGATAAAGAAGATTCTGACCAAGCTGACTCGGAAGACGAGAGAATGATTGATAACACTTTGAACATTGACCTCAATGACGAAGAGGTGAGGAAAAAGTTTATGGAGCAATATCAAATCAAAGATAGAAACGAGTTGGAAAAATTGATGGATGATATTAAGAATCATCGCCTCACTAAGCGTTCTCGATCCAACAGATTAGATATCGAATTAAGCGATGAAGAAGATGAAATTTTGATGGCCTATCGCAGACAAAAACTCGAGGAGCAAAAACAAAGGCTTTTGGAGAACCAGAAAATGATGCAAAGCTCAAGAAGTGATAAGACCAAAGCTTTCTTTGACAGTATTCAAGAAGAACCCAACTACGCAATCTTGCCTGAGAGTGAAACGTCTGATGATGAGTTAGCAGGGGTGGAGAAACTTTCAAACTCGCCTTCTTGTCGGCAGTCTGATGCAGACGAAGGACCGAAAAAATCCATAATTTTGGAAGAGTCTTTTGTTCAGAAGCAGTTGTCATTCCTTTCCAAAACAGAGGAAGATGACTATGTTGCAATTCAATTGGCATCAGATCGACAGCACGGTGTGGATGACGATGTTGAAGATGTCTCGGCGCTCAAAAAAAGATGCTTGAGTAATCTTTACTCGAGGCCTGCGAGCGTTGGAAGTTTCACCGAGTCACGGAAGCGACCTCAGGAGGAAGTCCAAACTGACGAGGATGAAGATGATCTGTCGCGTGTGTTCAAAAAGCCTTCTATGGTTAGCTCTTTCAGAACTTACCGAGAGAAGAGCGCAGCTCAGGTCTCGACCAACTCTTTTAGTGGAGTGACTGTCAACAAGCATTTCAAAGCTGCATCAGCATCGAAGTCATCTATAACATACATGTCCAAACAAAGCAAAGCGAGGCAAGTGGCAACATCCTCTTTCAAGAGTTCCAAAGCAATAGAGATCGAGGAGCGTGTGGACAGGGCCAAGTTGGAAAGCGGTTTCCTTGGGGGTAAATACAACTTCTCTTAATCCTTGTGCTTTTTTATTAATATTAGATCATTCAAATGCATTAAAATATAATACGCAACAATCACATATCTCAATTACAGCTTGATATTGTAAGATCCAAAACTCACAAAAGTTTTTTATTGAAAGCTTTCAAAACAAAAGGGACTCGTTGAGAGCATCCGTGAGGAGAGTTTGGCTCAATCGACGTAGAGTGGGTTTTTTGAAAGGTGAAGAGTTCCCGTGATTGATTATCTTAGTTCTATTAGGACCGATTGTCAAGAATGAGCCACTTCCACTCCGAAGTTGTTGCTCGCTAGGCGGAAGTCTCTTGGACTTGATATCATTTATCAGCGCAATCGGCTCTTTTGCATTTTTTTTCATCTTCTTAATTTGTTCCGGTGGAGATCGAACAATCAAACCATCACTGTATTTTCCTGTAGCAGTCACTCCATGGATCGGTAAAGAAGATGGAGCACTGACGAAATTGATGAAACTCGAAGCAAACGAACTGCCAAACAAGTCCATGCTTTTCCTTCTTTGAGGAATTTGACGGTTGGAAATGGTGCTGTTGGCCAGGGTATTTCGTTCTTGATCTTTATCAGCGATTCGCGGTCGATCAAGCCCTCTGGGTGATCCAAGCGGGGAATTCATGAGCTTAAAAAGATCAAAGTTTTTTTGCGTCTTTCTGGGGTTGGGCAGTCCAGCTACCAGACAAATGTCCAATTCTTTTTGACTCGCAAGCAACTTGGAAGAGTGCTCTTTAAACTTTGACGCAGCATCATTTTTTCTGCAATAGATGGCTTCCAAAGTAGGTTGGTTGGATAATGATTTCTTCAGGGCACTTACCATATCTGTTGGATTATGAAACTTTTGCTGGCTTGCGCTTTGTGATAAAGACGAATAATCAGACCCTCTTTTCACGGTGAGGATTGAATCATCAGACTTAGATCTTTCTAGCCGTGCCGGAAAACACTCTTTGAGGTTTATACGACTGCGGCGCAAGAAATGGTGAAAGTTTTCAAAGTCCTCAAACTTTGACTCTAGTGAATGGCAATCGTAATTCAGCAACCCAGAGTCTTCCATATCGTCTTCGTCTAAGTCCAGTAAGTCTAGCGATTTGAATAACATCGGCAGTGAATTGGCTTTGGAAGATTTTGGCTCTTTGGGTTCAGTGTCCAAGAAAGGAGGGGTGCGAGTCAAATCCTTTTCCTCAGATGTGGAAGTAGACACTGGCAGGCCAGAAACTGATGTCTGAGAAATAAACGATAAGTCATCGCCACGCTCGTGGTCCAGAGCCAGCACGCTCATGACATTTGAGTATTTCGTGTTTGTGGAGCTTTCCAGAATTTCACGGATGGGCAAAGCCAGAAGAGGATTCAAGGTATAAGCCTCTGAAAGTCTATACCGCGACTTCTGCCTCTGAACTTTCGAGTCCTTGCATCGCAAAGGCTTTAGGTTAAGATCAGAGATTGAAATAATGTTTTTCACTTTCTTCTCGGGGGACTGATGCATTTCCGGGGCCGGAGAGACCATATCCGCGTTTTGAAACTCGCTTTTTGTGCATTTTGGGCTGGTGTTTTGGTTGGTGGCATTGAATTCGTTCCAGAGGAAATCATACTCGCTGTATAAATTGCCGAAAGATGTATTGTTGGTGTAGCATTCGTTTAAACCAAAATTCAGCTCAAGGTAGAACGCTCTTTCGTATAGCTTTTGAAACTCGGCCAAAAATGCATTGTTTCGGGTGGCTAGCTGTGACATGGCATCGATCTCCGTGTCATACTTTGTGATCGATGTGTTCAAGTCCACGATCAGCAGAATGAGTTTGTGTGACTCGTCCACCGTGCCAACTAGCTTATCTGAGCGGCAAGATATTTCATCTACCATAGCGAGAAGAGAATCTAGTTTTGACATGCTTGGGAGAAATTAGGGACTTCCAAAGTGAAACCTCTTGTTTCTGAAGGAGACTAACGGGGATTGCGATGACAGTCAGAAAAAAGTGATAATCACTTTCTCGGCAAGTCTTTGTCGCTAATCTCCAAGTTCAAGAGTTGGTGCGGGTTAAAAGGAAGCTATCACTCCTTGTTGTAATGTGTTATTGTAGGTGGCTTGTGTATTTTGTGGCCCAGTCTGGTAGGTGGGAGGGCACAAAGAATGATCTGACTCGCGGCGTAAGCTAAGGCGCTGAAACTTAGTATTATAAAAGGACCCTGTTAATTGCGATCAAAGGAAAAGGAATATGTTGGTCGGTAACTATTTGCTTTGCTTTTTATTCCAAGAAATATTGAACACCAGTCTCTTTAATCCGACAAGACGATGCGAAAGATGCAAGCTTTTGTTTACAATTCCCTGCAGATAACCAATATGGATCTGCATGGTTGAAGAATTCCAAAGATACATCTTCAAGTGATTATCTTCTGAATATGCATCTTTACCCATGGCAATCTTGTGTTGAATTTACTTTGTCTGCCACAAAATTTCGTTCAAGCATCAGATTACAATAAGGAAAATTAAGATTTTTTGAAACGATCGTGTGTATTTGTAGTGTATGGACTGGAATCGTCCACACGCACCAGTCCCACGCTTCAAGCCATCCCCTCCCACAAATTAGAGACAACAAAACACGTTAGTTTTACTTGGTGGTGCGTTTTTGTTGTGTCATTATATGCAATAAAATTACTCAGACTTTCTCTTCTTCCTAGACTCTCCGTCATCGCTGCTCAGTCTCTTCTTCTCTTTCTTGTCTCTCTTCTCTTTCTTGTCCTTTTTCTCTTTTTTCTCTTTGTCATCAGTCTTTTTTTTTGTCCTTCTTTTCTTTCTTTTCTTTCTTTTCTTTCTTTTCTTTCTTCTCCTTCTTGTCTTTTATCTCGCCTGCACTGGAAGCAAGCAATCGGTTTTCACGAGTAGCTTCCTCAGGAGCCTCAAATGCTTTGATTCTCTCAGCTTTTCTTTCCTCGGAAACTTCTTCTTGCTTGGCTCTTTTCTCTTGCAAGTCTTTCCGCTGCTTCTCCTTCTTGCCCAAGAAGTATTCACCACTCTCAATTTGGAAGTCAATCTTTCTAGGCTGTTGAGCTGGTGGGAATGGCGTGTAGACCTTAGGTTTCTTGGTTTCCTTGGCCTTCTTACGTGCCACGTTCTTCTTCTTGAAGTTTGGTAAAAACCTTGACCAGTCTTCGTTCGCCAACTCCGGGTTCTTTGCCAATTCCTGTTTGATCATCAACTCTTTAATATGATAGATCGGGTGGACATTTTTCATGCAATCCTCCACAACTCTTCTTAATTCCTTGAGGCCTTTGTATGGGCCCATAGCACTAACAGTGTTACCTTGCACTAATATGTAACATTTGGTAAGCAACTCCAAAGCTTTGAGGGTGTTACCGTTAGGACCTACTAATCTCTGTCTTCTCTTAACAAAGCGGTCCTTGTTAGAGACATAACTGCCGATCTTGATCACGTCACAAGCAATGTCATCTTGCAACACCTTGACAGCTTGTGGGAAAGGTACGGATCTCGCTAATAGCTTGATCAAGTCGCGGGCTTTCAAGATTATAGCCGGGTCAAAGGTTTTTCTTGTTGTTTTGACAGTCATCGATCCCTCAACCAAGTCTAGTTGACAGGCAAGATTGTGCCCCTCCAACGCACTCGTGACATCAGCCCATACGGTCCTCAAGTAATTTTCTCTGTATTTCGGAAAAAGCGTCATGAAAGACGATTCTTCACTAAAAGGTTGGCCTGATGCATTGTGCTCTGGTTTGAACTCTTCAATCTTCCACTTGTCAATGTCCTCTGTATCCCAGGGCTTGTCACGGTTGTGTGTAGAAGGCATTTTCCTAAATATGTGATTGTTTCAGAGCAATAGCCACAGATTAAAATACGAAGACGACAATAGAGTCAATGAGTCTCCAAAAAAGATATTTCTGTCTTTGTTGAATAGCTCTCTTAGCTGCCGGAAAGCTATACGTTTTCTGTGGATTCACCTGGTGCTGGTTGGTGATGAGCATCGAGAAAGTTTTTGCCAGAACTTTATGTTGGTGTTATGTGCACGCCTTTCTCACCCCACCAGCATGACTGAAGCAAGGTGAACTACAGTCCTCCGCAAATCATTACTTTGCAATAATGGGAAACTCAAATCATAAACCAACGGGGACAAAAAGCACCAAACTGGGGAAAAGCTCGAGTGCAAGTAGAACGGTGCCACCCAAGGCGTCAGTTCTGAAGTCAAAGCTGAAGCTGAGATCAAAGCGGACAAAGGCGCAGATCGAGAAACTCAACCAGGATGAATCCACGATAGCAAGCATCCATGCAGCATTACTGGCCCGGGGGCAGGTCCCAAAGGAGGTGAAAATATTGGATGCTCAGAGTCTAAGAGAAGGCATGCTCAAAGATCAGCAGACGAAACTCCAAAGCGAGAAGGCTGAGAAAGATTTAGCTTCGCAGTTGGAGCTCATCACGGGGATGGCACTATAAGTAGTGGGTACATGCAAGAGATAATTACAGAAATTGAAGTTTATGTGACAAGGGAGGCCATGTCTCTCTAATACTCAACAAATAAGTGTGATTCACAAGGTTTTCGATTTTTGAAGTGGAGCATAATGCTTTCGTATAAGCCAGGTTGTGGGCAGTGTATTGTAAAATGTAGATCACGAGGCGCCTTCTATTTTAGAATTCCTTTACACTACCTGAGCATTAAATATGCATCAAAATCTTCAAAGTGGCCGATCACAAACAATTTTATGAACTACAAGTTATACAAATTTTAGGCATTGACAAGTATGCACCATATCTAAAGGCGTATATGGGCGCCTTTTTATACTCCAGATTTACTTGAAAAATCTATGCCATATTGTATCGTAAATTATCTATGTCATGATTGATTATTAACGCTCTAAGCACAACGCGGCACAAGAAAGGGTAGGTCCTGTTTTGTCAAATACTGATTTAGCTCACTCACGGATGCATCTGCGTTTAGGGGGCCCAAGGTAAAACAACTTATAAGTTCGTCTAGCGAAGGATGCTGGCGACAGCCCGTCTTTATTGGGAATATAAATGTAGCGTGTCAACTAGAAATATGGGTCAATATGTGAAACAGATTCCGCTCCTCAAAAGGCTTGCAGCCACTTTTGAATGTTTCTGGGGCTACCTGGGTGATGTTCGTGTTTTACATTAATATTTTGACTTCACACACTGCGTAAAATAATGTTTGGAGTCCTCAACATAAGAAAGCTCCAAATTTTTGATTTTAGCCATTTTATTCTTTCAACTCAGAGTCGTGGTATTGTCAGCCATCTCGTATTTTTTCATTATTGATTCTGCGATAGCAGCCTGCAGATACCTGAGATGCCCATCATTATTAAGCACCATTCTGGAAAGCTCATTCTTACACACATCTTCATTTGTCGAAGGATTTAAAATGTCTGAATCAGAATACCAGGAAAACGAAGAGCACTTCAACGAGGAAGAGTTTGTTGACAGCAACGAAATTGCTGAAGAAGTTGAAGATGACTTCGGGCCTGGTCCCGAAGAAATCGACGAGAATGATATGGACATGGACGATGAGGAAACACTAGAAATTGACTTAGCCAATAATTCATGGACCTACTTTGACCAACATAAAGACAGTGTGTTTGTGATTTTCAAGCACCCTTCGTTACCCATGGTTGTCACGGGTGGTGGAGACAATACGGCTTTCATGTGGACAACTCATACGCAACCACCAAGATTTGTCGGCGAGTTGCTGGGACACAAAGAGTCAGTCGTTGCTGGTGGTTTCACTGGGGACGGAAAATTTGTCATCACGGGTGACATGAATGGATGCATCCAGGTGCACCAGGCGGCTAAGGGTGGCCAGAAGTGGAGTAGATTTGGCGAGTTGGAAGAAGTGGAGGAAGTTTTGTGGATTTCAGTGCATCCACATTTGCCATACTTTGCTTTCGGTGCTCCCGATGGCTCAGTGTGGGTCTATCAAATAGACGAGAGCTCGAAGTCACTCGAACAAATAATGTCCGGGTTCTCTCACAATTCCGAGTGTAACGGTGGTGTATTCGTCAATACGGACGACAATGAAAGTTTGACTTTGGTCACTATCTCCGAAGATGGCTCGATTGTCAACTGGAACGCTTTCTCGGGAGCCACAAACTACAAGTTGCAGCCTCATGATGACTTCAAGGGTGTCGAGAGTCCGTGGGTGTCCATCAAGACTTACAAGAATGTGTTTGCCGTTGGTGCCAGAGATGGGCAGTTGGCGATTGTGAACCTAGACACCGGAAGAATTGTTCACCACGTGAAAACCATCGAAAATGTCGAAGACATTGCCGACCTTTCCGTGGAGGCATTGTCCTGGTGCAAGAGTCCCACGGTTAACTTGCTTGCCGTTGGTTTAGTATATGGTGATGTTCTTTTGTTTGACTCTTTGCAGTGGAGATTGCGTCGCACACTCAAGGCTGATGACACCATCACCAAGCTTGAATTTGTGGATGATAAGCCAATTTTGGTTGGTTCCAGCATGAACGGGAAAATCTACAAGTGGGATGCCCGTACCGGTGAGGAGTTATTTGTTGGAGTTGGCCACAATATGGGCGTGTTAGATTTTGCCGTGCTTGATGGCGGTGCCAAGCTTGTCACTGCTGGAGACGAGGGTGTGTCTCTTGTGTTTGTGCACGAGTAGTTTTATGAATACAGCCCTTGGGATCTGGAACCTCATGCCGACTGATTCTGTTGTGTATCTTGAACCACCGAGATTTGGTTTTATGCATGTCGATGGATGAATGCTAGCGAATCACAGCTAGCGGAGAACCATCCTACTTTATCTTGTACAAGTGGACGCAGTATTTGCAAAGAATATCATTCGAGACAGCAAATGAATCCTTGTGAGGGTAACATGCAGAAACTTCGAAATAGTCAATGTGAAAAAAACAGTCATTCAATAATTTTTTTTTTCCGTACATTCAGTTACATCAGATAGAAACTCTATCATACCGAATCCATTACCGCCAAGTCCTCCAAACTTTCCAAATGCATCTCAATACCAAATTGAGGTAAGATCTTCACTTTTTAGAATAGAAACATATTTAGACAAGCCGTAATATCATTGCGTAAGGAGACACCATGCTTTTTGACTAACTTCTATAAAAGCTAAAGTTTTGTCCACTCCGGTCACTTCAAGAGTCTTTTGCATTATGGGTTTTCTGATACGATTTACATTCATAGAGGCTACTGCTATGCTGGTTCAAAAGGCAAATTCTTCCAAAACTTCTTACTTTAAGCTCATCAAGCAGCTACTTAGACTCTATGTAAAATCATCTCTTGATATTTCTCGCTTTGACGATGTGCTTCAATATATGAAAGGCAACGCGTCGCGCGTCGAAAGTGCCAGTCGAACGCGTGTCGCGTAACGGGAACAAAGAGTTTCCTACAACAAAGAGAAGATTTTGAACACAATTCATTGATGATGACTGATACTTTCGATGATACAAGTATTACAGAGGAGGCCGTGGACAAGGTCCATGTGAACCTGTCCAAACCATCAGAGTCCGACATGCTCTTTTATTACCAGCGAATCCTTCCGTTTAAGCATATCTTCAAATGGTTGAACCACGCTGTCAAACCAACGAAGGACTTCACAATGCGAGAGTTTGCCTACGAATTCCGCCTGGGAGCATATCAAAGATACAACTCTTTTAGTACAGCGGACGAATTCCAGAAGTCTGTTGTCAGCGCCAACCCAACACGTTTCGAGGTAGGGGCCATTTACACTGTAAATCCAAAGGAGAGAAAATCTCTTCCAAAAAATGCCATGAAACCCATTTCAAAAGAGTTAGTGTTTGATATTGATTTGACAGACTATGACGAGATCAGGACTTGTTGCTCAAAGACAGATATTTGTACAAAATGTTGGAAGTTCATCCAGGTGGCGAGTGAGATCATCTCCGTGGCGCTACGCGACGATTTTGGTTTTACCAACTTTATATGGGTGTTCTCCGGAAGAAGAGGTGCGCATTGCTGGGTAAGCGATAAACGAGCTCGTAGTCTAGATGAAGCTTCCAGAAAAACTGTGGTGGAGTACATGAACGTATTGGGCTCGAAGTCTAACAAAATGGGGAAGTCGTCTTTGGGGATCAAGAAACCATTCCATCCTCACGTTGAAAGATCTTTAGACATTTTGAAAGTCCGCTTTTCTGAGATCATTTTAGAGGACCAGGATCCTTGGTGTACATCTCATGGTTCAGAAGAAAACTGGGCCCAGGTCGAGGAGATGTTGGCCTTTATACCAGAACAAACACTCCGCAATTCCTTGAAAGCAAAGTGGAAAGACCAGACGCTGTTTTCACTGTCACGCCAGAAATGGGAGGATTTGAATTCCGTGGCTCAATCGGTGCTTAAGAATAAGTCCCAAGTGGCCCAGCTCAACGAGGCAAAGAAGGACATCATCATTTACTATATGTATCCACGTTTGGATATTGAGGTCTCCAAACAAATGATCCACTTGTTGAAGTCTCCTTTTTGTATACACCCAGGCACAGGAAATGTATGTGTTCCTTTCGACCCTTCTAAAAACTTGTCAGGAAACATGGAAGATGATGCATACGGGTTCAATCCAATGACGGCCCCAAACCTCAAAAAAATACAGGATGAGATTGAGACCTGGGATTCTCAACGGGCAATCAGAGATTCCAGTGAGCCTGCTGAAGGATCAGATTCCCCTCCCAAAAGCGTACACGACTACGAAAAGTCCTGTCTCAAACCTTACACTGAGTACTTTAGTCATTACGTCAACAGATTGATTACAGAGGAGATGAGAGATTCAGGAAAAAGAAGCTCGGATCCATTGGAGTTCTAATGAAAAAACAAATCTAAATGACTTATATAAATGCGGGGGCTATGTATAATAATGTCAATTCCCAGACTTAAAGATCACTTACACCAAAGGGCATTCGTTAGAGCCCACGCTGTCGTCACAAGGACTTGGATCTTCGAGTGTGCCACTATGATTCTTGATAATGATGGTGTGCTGGTATATATCGAGGAATTTCTTTGTATCAGACTCATCATCATAGTGATACCATTCGAGATACTCGTTTATGTCATCGTACTTAACAAAACCCGCGTTGAGATATATGTCATTGTAGTTGAGGTAAGGGTAGTGCCACTTAGGCGTGAAAATGAGCGTAGGGCTGGTTTTGAGTTCGTCAACACTGAGACGCTCATCTAAACTCAAAGTCAAAGCAAACTTTGACAGTTTTATATCGAATTCAGATTCTTTGATAGTTCCCAAAGTAGCGACAACGAAAGGTCTCATTACCGCACTCACAGCACGAATACCATCGGGTGACGGATAACATTGTTTATAATGTCTATAGCGTATGTTATCCGAGGATGTCGAAATCAAGGAGGATTCCTCCACAGAGCCAGATTTGGGATCTGCATACTCATCATGAAGATCATTGATAATGGGCGATTTGAATAGCGACGGAATAAGTCGCTTTTTATGATATGATAGTTTTGTTTTTAAAACCTCAGTCGTACCGCTATTTTCCTTCATGATTCTGATACTTCTGAGTGATGGTGTAACGCTATCTTTGCGCGTTGAGGTGATGCTATCCGATCTGTATGATGAAGCTAGACTCTTTTCTTCTTCCAGAATATCAAACGATAAGTCTCGATCATCCGGTGACCAAAATGAAAAATCTTCGTTATTCCAACGATCTCCCCATTTATGACAATTGATGCTGTTGTAGCACCAATATGTATGATGCATATTAGCGCCTTCGAGAGCATTAGCTAGTGCATCTAAAGCGGCGGTTTGCATTTGATAGCGTCCGTCATCGAACGCCTTTTTATCGTCCATATCAAAAGGCATACCAGTTTCTGACATTAAGACAGGAACGGGTCCCAAAAGCCGTAATCCTTCTTCCTTGATTTCCCTAAATTGTTTTTTAAGGCAATTCCTAATTGCCCGCTCACCCAACACTATTCCTAGAACAGGATTGAGATATCTACCTCTCATAATTCCCAAGGTGTCCACGTTATAGCGAAAGTTCCAACTTTTAAACATCAAAGACATACCGTCATAATAATGTGGACAGTATATGGTTCTGTCATCGATTATTTTGCGAGGATCATCCTTCAATCTGGGTGGTTCCTCGAGTACTGGAGGTTGAATGAAAACGAAAGCACTGGGTGCAACAGATCGCACCATATCCTTGAATTTGGCGTAATACTCCACAAAAAAATGATTTGTGAAAAAACCTTGGTCTATGAGCGCCGGGAGTGATTCTTTGGGAACATCAAATGATATTTCAGAAGACACTTCACTGAAGTAGAACGGCTTGAGAATTTTACAACTTTCTTCAGTGAACGCTAACCGAGAGCTTTGAGGTGACAATTTTAATTTTTCAAGGTCAATGTCTTTCCATGCCCAAATACCAGCGCTAGCATATATGCACACACCAGGTGCCCAGCCAGATCTAGTCCATCCGTATTTTGCGTCAATGGTTGCCATCTCTTCGGCAGAAAGCCATGCTCTTTGTCCCTTAGGATCCACAACAACTCGGCCATCTATGTGAGGGCCCGTGATTGCGATTCTGAAATCGTCAACCTCAACTGGGAGCCCCATTCCCAACTTGAAACAGTCAAGAGCGGTTGGTGTTGACCCTATCCTTAAGTGCTGCGAAGAAGGAATAATAGAAAGATTTGGAGTTCCTACCAAACCACAATTTGGTTCGTTAAGCAGCTCGAACCCCAAAATTGAGCCATTTTCGAACATTTCAGGTAGCTGTTCTACTACAGCTACCCATAGATGCTTCAAGCTTTCTAAGTGATGATACTGCAAGTAGTGTTGGATATTAGTGCCATTGAGTTTCAAATGAGGGAAATATGTTGCACCTGAAAAGAACAACGTGAACATTGTAAGCAGTGCCAACCTTTTATAGTTGGACGTCCAAAGCATTTTTGGATAAGACTGCAGATCATTTCGGGTGCAATATTCAAATTTATCACTGTTGTGCAAAATTGCTGCTTCGCAAGCGGAGAATCTTTCAGGCTGAAGACCAGCAGCATATAAAGTCCACATAGGTGCCCCGGACCCCCCACAATAACGTGACCACACGTCTTGATGGGGCTCCAAGAAAACATAGAGCCCACCAACTTTATAAATTATGCGCAATACTTTGATTGTATAGTCAATAAAGTCTTTGTCATAGATACCTGGTCCTTCATGTTCAAGAGCTTCCCAGGATATCAAATATCGTATAGTATTATAACCCAATGACTTAATTCTTTCGAGGTGTGATTCTGCCGTTTCGAGAGAAAACGGCCTACCTACAAAGGAAACATTATCGCCATCGAAGAATATATTCTTGGACTCGCTGCTTTCACCTTCATAGCTAGGCATGAACGGCTCCATCGGGAGCTTCATCGATGAATCAACATTGAGGCCTTTGAGCATGCGCTTTCTACCTTGAGTGTCTACAATGTCCCCATTTTCTATATGTAGCGGCTGACATTCTAGAATTGATGATCCTGATTGTTCGACAGTTGGGATAGTCTCGCCTGCATTGTGTTTCTTCTTCAATGATCTCACGCCATTCACCGAGATACCAGGAACAGCTCTGTACAAGCTGATCCTGTCTGAAATTGCTTCTTTAGCGGAGCGGGCGCTGGCAAAAGCCTGAAAAATAGACCCCATACCTGGTGACGAGGTTTACGATCAATAACAAGTACGGCCCGCAATCAATTCTCCCCACGTCAGCCTAGCCTGACTCGCGAGCCTGTGCTTGCATACAGTATAATTTTCCAGCCGCATAGCAAACCATAAATCTAGAAATTGAGTCTTTGCCAGGAACTTCGCGGGACATATACGTATTTGTACGCGTACTGCTGACTTCTTAAAATGACATATGAAATTATATCTGGGTTCAATATCTGGTCACGTGAACGAAACGGGAAAAAAATATTTAAAACAAGAATCATTCAATGAGCGGGTTCGACATCATATCTAACGTAACCCACAATAGAAGTGCATATAGATGAGTATGCGCTTACAGAGACAATCAGTGTGAAGTTGATAATATGGACCTTAAAGTCTTCATTTCATTTGCTTTTAGAAGACCTTTGGAGGTTATGTCAATGGCTTGTAAAACTAATTTAGTTTCAGAATCATCTCTTTTCAGAGGAAGGATAAAGCTAGCCCTGGTGGAGTTGTCCAAGTGCTTTTCGTTTTGCCTCAGCGTGGGCCGTTAGTCTCCACGAATCTTGGCTCTGAGCGTAACGATCGAAAAGCGGGACAATTCTTTCCTTCTTCTTTCTGTCTGAGATATTGTTTGGATCGCTTTTTTTGAAAAATCTCGGTGCAAGGTCAGTGAGCCAGCGTGGATCTATCGTTGTTGCACAATGCATATACTCCTTTGTTGTAAGCAAAAGAGTGTGATAAATAACATACTCGGCGCTCTTGCCATATATGGACAGGGATGGATGAAGGTGAACAGGAGTTTGGTCGAGGAGTGTATTGTAGATTCCCTCATGGGGATCTCTTTTAGCCAGATTCTTGAAGTATCCAGCACAAAATGCCTTTCTGATCGTTGAATTGTCATCGCTGCTGTCGATCGAGAGCCCATACTTTTGCATGATAGTTTCGAGTTGCCTTTTCACATCTTGAGCTCGCTTCATACTTCTTTCATGTATGTAGTTCTCTTTGCACCATCGACTCGATCGGCCGCTCAATTCCCATGCTTTGAAGACGTTGAGAAAGGTTAAGTGGTCACCATGGATACTATGAAACCTTTGCTTGCGCTGATCAGCAGCAGCTTGTTTTTCTTTAGGTCTGTAGAAAACCGTTTGCACTGAAAGCATAGCAACGATGGTCAACACCTCCAAAGCACATAAATGCTCAACAGATGCCAACAAAGTCTTTGCCAAAGCCGGTTCCATGGGGAAATCTGCCATTTGCCGTCCCAAAGACGTTAGGAAGCCATTATCATCTAGCGCATCTAGTGTGTAAAGTTCATGCAAGGCATTCACCATAGTTTGCATTGGGGGAGGATCCATAAATTCAAAATTGATCAAATCATTGATACCCATTGCCTTGAGCATTAAGATGGTGGATGATAAGTTCTTCCGCTGTATTTCAGGAATAGAATTTGGGAGCATTTCCAACTCATAAGCTTGTTCCGTGTAAAGCCTGAAGCATTTACCGGGGCCTGTGCGGCCAGCTCTTCCACTCCGTTGGTTTGCTTGAGCACGGGAAACTGGAGTGATTACCAACAGGTCCATTCCGAGCTTGGGGTCATAGGCGTTTACCTTCACGAAACCAGGATCAACAACATATTTGATTCCGTCAATCGTGATAGAGGTCTCCGCTATATTTGTTGCCAAGACAACCTTTCTTGCACCCTCAGGGGCGGGCTCGAATATTCTTGCTTGCATTTCAGATGGCATGACTGCGTAAACCGGCACAGTCATGAGTTCCGAAACAGCTGACCCTAGAGTTTTCACACGAGCATTTAGCACTTCCAAACTTGTGTCGATATCTTCTTGACCAGTGAGAAAAACGAGGATATCACCCTCCGCCTCAGCAACATGTATTTGCATCACACAGTCTAGAGCAGCGGCTAGGTAGTCCTGCTCAGGTTCACGTGAGAACAATATTTCCACCGGGTAGGTCCTACCCGGTATTTTGAGGACGGGACAATTGTTGAAGTATGTTGAAAATTTTTCTGAGTCAAGCGTGGCGGAAGTCACGATCACCTTCAAATCAGGATTCTTCAACGCCGCCTTTTTGAGCAACGCAAAGAGCACATCCGTGGCAATGGTTCTTTCGTGGGCCTCGTCCAACATGATAAGAGCATACTTCAGCATGGTGGGGTCTATCAAGGCCTCTCTCTCCAATATACCGTCTGTCATGTACTTGACCTTTGTTTTCGCAGTAGATTTATCTTCAAACCGGATGGTATACCCGACCTCCTCTCCCACTTTGCATCCCACTTCAGCGGCCACCCTGTTTGCGACAGAAACAGCAGCTACTCTTCTCGGCTGGGTACACCCAATAATCTTGGACTGACCCTGCACAACATTGATAGCATCCTCATAGGCGTACTGGACGATCTGCGTTGTTTTTCCCGAGCCAGTCTCTCCGACTATGACTAGGAACTGGTTGTCTTTGATAGCCTGGACCAACTGAGACCTCATGGAATACACCGGAAGTGACTTGCGTTGCTCCGCTATGGTTTTCGGAAAGCCCGAGCCACTGAGTTTGGCCTTTTGTGTTCGCTGCTTCTGTCTCCACTGATTGATGACCTCTTCAGTCTTTTCCTTCAGCTCAAGGTCTCTTTCAGCTAGGGATTTGATCGGGTCGTTTGAGTTTTGGGCCAAGACATTGTCTCTTCTGAGCTGCTTTTGTTGAGCGAGTTTCTCCTCGCGCAACTCCTGGACCAACTTGGAGCCACTCATAGCGCTCCTACTGAGAGAGCCTTCGGGATTCTTGAGGATTGCCATTGGGTTGAAGAATGCCCCGCCGCCCATCTGCCCTTTCAAGAACCTTGGCTCCTCTGTGTTGAGTTCGATATCCACCAGTTCCTCGGCATCGAGTGGATAGTCGCCTGCGTCTTCATCCTGGAAAGCGTTTAGCTCTGGGTAGTCGGATGCCGACGCCGCACCCGAAGCTATGAGCTGCCGGATTTCCCAGCGTTCGGGAGACGTGAGCCGGCGCTTCTTCGGGGCGTGGTGGGGACCATGGGCAGCGTCACGGCCCCGTTTCTCTTGCGCAAGATCCTGGGAGGCCTGGACCGCAAGGTCGTCCAGCTTATCGATGCCCGTGAGCTGGTCCACTCCCACCATGGAGAGAGAGATTTTGTCCCGGCGGCGGTTCCCTGCATTCTTCACGATTTCGTCGACCCGCACGAATAATTCCTGGTTGAGCCTGACAACGTCTTGGGGGTGCCTGATGCGGGTGCGTCCATCGAACAGCATCCGGGAGACGTGGCACAAGCCCGAGAGGAACGACGTGGGTCGATGGAGCCGAATGAAAGCACCGTACGGCGTGATGTTGCTCACATAGCCTCGGTACACGCGGCCTTCGTCGATGTGGTCGTCGGCGGCAGCTTGCCGCGAGCATGGGGGCTTGGGCACCGCGCCCCCAGCCCGAGAAGCGTCCCCCGGGCCATGGTCCACAGAGGCGTTTTGCCGGGGGCCGGACTGATCTGGGCCCGCCAGATCGGGAAGGGCGAGCCCACCAAAATGGGACGGCTCTTTGCCACGGGAAGTGGGGCCTGGCGGCGGCGGTCTGTCTGTACAAGCAGAAGTGTCCTCAGACGAGGAGCCGGGCATTGCCGAGAGGTGCTCGTAAACCGCCCGGATGAAGAGCGGCGGGAAGCCGTCGCCGCCATTGGCCAGAATGGCGCTTTCGAACAGCAGAAACGGCGAGGCGCCTGCAAGAGTCTGCTTGTTGCGAGCCTCGTCGAAGAGGCCCACCACGAAGCGCGATAGCGTGAGGTCCTCGTCGTGGAAACGGAGGTGCCGGGAAACGAGGCTGGCGACTTGCTGGGGCCGGCCGTCATCGGATGCCATGGCGGGTGTGTTTGTGGGGGATAGCTGAGAAAGGCGTTGGCCCAGGCGAGCGAGATGCGGCCCCATGCCCGGGTGCGCGTGGGGCCAGGGTGCGGTGGGGCCAGAGTGATCCTGAAAATGGGGCCAGAGCGCGATGCGGCCTGGCGACGGGGCCTGGCGATGCTTCTGGCCAGAGCCCGGTAGCAGCACCAAAAAACCGCGTCTTTCCTGGGAAAATCAGAACTCGGCCATTTGGGAAGCAGCCGGGCGGGTGGGGGCCGATACGCCATTTTTTTTTTTACCCTTTTTCCCCCTTTTTTCTCCGGAACGGGGCCGGTTGGCTGTCCTCTCGCCGTATTCTAGCAGGCGCAACTGCACCGCGAACCGGCCCTGGGCGCAGGGCCTGGCGCCGCATCGTCCCTGGCCGTAGAACGCTCTTCCACTGCCAACGGCCGGTCATTCTTATTTCTCTTTATTTTTTCTTTTTTTTTTGATTTCAGTCAGTGGAGGCCTGGGCCGTTTGGGCCGGCCGTCTACAGTGGCAAACAGAAAAAAAAAGGGAATCACTCGTATTGACGTGTAATGCAGAAAGCGACGAAGGCTGGCGCGTCGTCACCAAGAGCTACTGGAGGCGGTCTACATAACCCACGAATCAAACAGTACATCCCGTGCACCAGCTGGCGGGCAGTCCACGGGACCTTGCCCGTGCTGAGCACGCCCTGGCGTGCGTTCTCCGCCGGCCGCTCAGATCTCAAGTGGGCGGGCGCCGTCCTTGTCCACCACCTTGACGTACACGCCCTTGAAGTCAATGGGCATTCTGGTCTCCAACTCCGCCAAGCTCCTCTTCAACAAGTCAATGCCTTCCTCCAAGGTCATGTCCGGCCGGTAGTGCCTGTCGAACAACGACGTGCAGTAGAACGCCGCGTACCCGTGGGCCCCGTAGGGCAACTCCACCTGCGTGCCCAAGTAGTCGATCCAGTTCAACGAGGGCGTGTTTGTTTTCGTGTCGAACCCGCCGATAAGCACGTTCACCTGGTACGGCTTGCGCGATCTGATGGACGTGGCGAGCTGGTTGCGCACAAACGATGCGGTGGCCCGCGGCGACAACTCCTGCCCGTTTTCACGCATCGTGTAGAGCTGGACGTTGGCCTGGATGTACTCGGCAAACTGCACCGTGTCCCCGGCCTCGCCGGTGTAGGCCACCAAGTTGTGCGTGTTGAGGAGCCTGGTTTTGTCGTCGGTGGCCTTCAATACGGAGATGCCGCGCGTGGCCGCCTTGGACGTGGCCAAGATCGTGGCGTCCTGGACCTTGATTCCGAGGACAATATCCATGTTTTGTGGTGTTTTGGGATGGGGTGCACTTGCGGAGGCGTACGCTGATGCGTGGAGTGTTTGCCACGGCGCGTGCGCGGCTCAAACGCCCGGTGGCGAGGACTGGACTGTTTCGGTGGACGGGACGATTTCGGTGGACTATTTTCAAGGACTATTATCGTGGACTATTTTCATGGACTGTTTTCATAGACTGTTTTCATATACTATCTCCATATACCCTCCATAGACTATCTCCATGAACTATCTCTATAGACCATCTCATATACTATCTCATATACTATCTCATATACCATCTCATATACTATCTCATATACTATTTCCATAGACTATCTTAGATACCATCTCCATAGACTATCTCATATATTATCTCATATATTATCTCCATAAACTATCTCATATACTATCTCCATATACTATCTCATATACCATCTCATATACCATCTCATATACCATCTCCATAGACCATCTCATATACTATCTCATATATTATCTCCATAAACTATCTCATAAACTATCTCCATATACTATCTCATAAACCATCTCCATATACTATCTCATATACCATCTCCATATACTATCTCATATACTATCTCATATACTATCTCCATGAACTATCTCATATACCATCTCCATATACTATCTCATATACCATCTCATATACTATCTCATATACTATCTCATATACTATCTCCATGAACTATCTCATAAACCATCTCCATAGACCATCTCCATGGACCGCACTGTTGCATTGCAATTATTCTGCGCCTCGCAGTACCACCGAACAGCTCACGTGCCTCACGCCACGTGTCGCTTCACCGTCTCAGTGATGAACCGCACGAGCGGGCTGTCCTCCTGGTGCAACTGGCCCTCCAAAGTCAACTCCACCTGCTTCTCAATCAACTTGCCCGTGTAGTCCACTTCGATATTCACGCTGGCCCCCACCGGCTTGCGCGAGAGAATGACCTTTTCCTGCGAGTAGCTGATGAGCATGATGGAAAACTCGTGCTTCTTGTAGTCCACGTGGGTCACCGTCAAGGACGTGCCATCTATGGCAATAAACCCCTTTTCCACAATGTACTTGATGTACTGCGCGTCGCGGAGCTTGAAGGTGAAGGCAATGGAGTTGCCGTCCTGCTTCCTGCCGGTGATGTGGGCAATGGTGTCGACATGGCCCTGCACCACGTGACCCCCGAGTCGGACCTCGCTGGTCACGGCCCGCTCCAAGTTCACCAAGCCGCCCTTGGCCAAATCGCCCAAGCTGGACCGCCGAAGCGTCTCGGGGGCAATGCCTACCTTGAACCAGCTTTTCTTTTCATCAAACTCGGTGACTGTGAGACACACGCCGCTTGTGCAAATGGAGTCTCCAAGGTGCACGTCGGTCAAGATCTGGTGGCAATTGCCCACCACCATCGACACTCCGTTGCCACCCGAGCTGGAGTTGTCGAGAACAGTGTACTCCAAAATAGTGCCGATGGTCTCAATCAAGCCTGTGAACATTTTTCGGCGGTGTGCGTTCGGTTGTGGAGCCTGGGGTGGAGCCTAATTTAGCTGCAACTCACCGCTTGGTTATTACTCATATGGCGAGAGGCGAGAATGCACCCGCGCGCACCAGTGCACCAGGAAGAAAAAAAAATTGTCAGCAGATTAGAGCAGGCTCGATGGCCTGCGTCTCCCCGACCATAATCGGGCTTGGCCACAAAGGCTATCTTTGCTCTGCCCTCACGAGCCCGGCAACTACGAGTGGTCCTACGAATATTCCGTGTTTGAATAGGTTGGTATTTGTGTATTCCCTCTAATGATTATACATATTGAAACAGATTAAATTAATGCTGAGGCCATGTATAAAAAGAATTAACGCCTCAAGCGTGTGTAGAAATGATGTGTTTTGAAAGTGAAAATGAACCCAGTTATTCGGAGCGAGAACTGTGTCATTTAGATCAACAAAGCGACACCAGCAGCAGCGACGGCACCGAAGACACCAGCGCCAACCAATTGGGAGGCACCAGCCTCGGAGGAGGTGGAGGTCAGGTTGGTGTAGTTGGAGCTGTTAGAGCCGTTAGAGGCGTTGGCAGCGGAAACAGCGGAGGCAGCGGTCAAGGCGACGATGACGGATTTGAATTGCATTTTGTGGTTAAGTGAAAAGAAAACGATGGGGCGGGAATCTGCCTTTTATATCTCGGGACTGGTTTTCCTGCACGAACGCGGTAACTTGTTCCACGAGAGCGAAGTGTTATCTGCATATTTAATTTCTTTTTTGCGCTCTCTATTACTTTTGCTATATCCCGTCAACATGCAGGGTCAAGGAAACTTCTGGAATTAGTACCGATGTATCTGTAAAAGCGTAAATGGCTCCTGGAATGAGTTCACTCAACAGGTGTACTCTACTCGAGTGGCAACGCGACGTTTTCCGTGGCCACTTCCAAAACGAAAAAAGGCTGATGCTTGAGGGACATATAGTCCGCCAACGGACGCCTCATACCCACTTCAGCAAGATTGAGCTGCTTTCGTGTTAAATTAAATGCCCTGCATGTACTACATACAGACTCCTGCACCGCTTTTGGGCGTGGCGGTGCTACATTTTTTGGTCGGGGACAGAGGCCTTGGGTCCTCCGTCTCGCCTCATCCCAGCAAAAATTTTGCAGTCTTGGCGTTGTCAATTATTTTAAGTTCATCGCGCTCCGGTTTTCCTCGTCCAAGGCTACCGATTTAAGAGAGGTGTTGACCAAATGTTGGTCTTTTCATACTTCAGTTCGGGATCACCCAAAGGTATGTCTCACAAAAGAATTTTTCGATTTTGAAGTATGCCTGATCAAAATACCAGCCACCTGAATGCTGTGTGAAGAAGGCCGAACACCCGATCGCAAATTTGTAAGGGGATATTTCCCGTTACAGAATCTTTTTCGGGAGTTACCACGGAGCGATACCGCGCATGCATGCCCCCACGCCCAACCCCTGTTATGACCGTGATTTCCGGCATACAGGGCATTTGGCGAGAGTTGCCAGCACAGTATTATGCTATCGGACTATCACGCCCGCCTCGTAGTCTCCAATTTGAAGAGCCCTGCACAGGGGAGCTGGAAATTTCCGCGCTTTCTTGCATCTTTTGCCGATGCCTGCGTTGCCGTGGTATTCTACACTACTATTGGCCAGGCAACGGAAGCAACGGTATCTGTCCCTCGAGCTTACTTTAAAACCTTATTTGCATAAAAGTTTTTAATGGCGGTTTCCAAGACATCGCGCTATCAGCTTAGTTTATGTATGGGTTGTTCTTAGCGTGTTGTCTAGAGTTTATGTGTTGATCCGATTAATTCGGAGTCTGCTTGTCATTTCTCATGTAAAGGCATCTCAGCATTTTTACTTCTTTCGGGTCCTTCTCCCAAAATCTCCTGCGCGTTCCGACTCGAGATAAGCCTTTCGTCAAATCCTTGATTGAATTGCTTATTGCTTTGCAGCAATCATGTCTCATTTGACTGCCCCCACCAATGATATGAGTCTGGTATGCCATTAGATCATCTGGTAAATGTAGTTTTTACCCACAACGTAGCACCGTTCGTGGGTTGTTCTTCCGTGTGCACATTCTTCTTTGTCTTAGCACCAAAGGGGTTCATGTAACTTGGCTTGAAATGGAGACTACTCTTTATCGCGTGCTCCTCAGGAAGTTGGTTGAATCCGGTCGAGTTCGTCTATAACGGCAAGAGCCGTGCATCTCAAGATCGCATTGAAGATCTTTGCTTCAAATTATGCTATTCAAGGGACAGGCTAAGAAATTTCCCTACTTACGATTCTGTTCCGTCTAAACCTCGCTGATTTCCGAAACGTCCCAGTATTTCGGCTTTTGCTCCTGCGCAAACTAGCAGTTTCTTCTTTGAACACGCGAGCCCAATTTCAACTCTTTTGAGGGTCTCGTCTTTTCTTCCCTCAATTTTAAGTGTTCTTATGCCCCAGATAAATTTCAAGATTGCCTTTTTTTCTAAATATGGAATTATGAGGTAGCATGTTGTCAGATCCCGACCTCCCTGAAGGCTCGAATGCCAAAAAAAAACTTTATATCGCTTCAAGTGTAGGACATGGTCTAGAAAACCTCTTGACTGATCATTTTGTCTACGATTGAATCGCTTCAGAGTCGCTGGAGACAATTTTGTTCTGATCGTTCGAAACAGTCTCTGCTCCATCGGTTTTCATTTGGTCTTCCTTGTACAAGTCAATAAGCGCCTCTATCTTTTGCACTTCCTTGTCGTAGTCCCATCCATGAACAGCAATCTCATTCATAAACAAATCACCCCAGATTGGGCGGTTCGCCTTGTTCTCTTCAATATAAGTCCGCAACCCAGAGAAGTATTTCTCCATGCGACTACTGAGCAAATAACTCATTTGATTTTCGTGGAAATGTGTGAATTCTCTTCCACTTAAATACTCACGTAAAATCCAGTTGTCGTAAAGCAAGTTGACAAAGTCATCCATGTCAAAATTAGCAATAGTTTCTAGCTTTTCGTCCTTGCTATCGCGTTTGCCCAAGCCACGCAGACTCTCTACCCATTTGGCGGGCTCTTTGGCATAATCTGATAAAACCTGAACTCTCACCCACAAACGAAACGAGCTCAAGTAGATATAATCCTTGAACTTTTGTTGGATCATTCCTCCTGCTCGATATTCGTGTTCAAGCATGGGGCTAAATTTCTTTGGTACATAAGCAATTTCATTCTGCACAACAGTTTTGACTAAAGGTGTCAATTCACTAAGTGAGGAGAAATGCCTATTGCGACAATTGAAAAGATTTTTCAATTTGTTGTGAATTTTGTTTGTTTCGGGCTTTTGCAGGATTTTCGGGGATTCATATCTGCCTGGGGCATTCTCGTCGGAGACAGCTAAGCCAGTGATATCAACGTATAGACCAGTGTGGATGTCTATGAACCTTGCGTCTATATTGTTGAGGCCGTTTCCATGCTCCCTTTGAGTTATGCTCGATCCGACATCGATGAAGAAAGACCCCATGCCATTGAATTCCATTGATTTTTCATCAGCCCCGCGCAAGTCACGGCCTGTGTTTTCAATCACCAATGTCTGGTTGAAATCTCGGGCCAAACGATGTAAGTCTGTGATCGGCATTTGAACGTCAGTATCAGCATCCCATGGAAACGCCATACCATTCCAATACCAGGATAACAAAGACCCATGCGCTATCCATGTCACAATTCCATGTGTCCGGCAGAACGAGAGATAATTTTTGAGAACTCGATGGAGTGCGAGGACTTGCTTGTCTGTGTTGATTGTCAAACCATTAAAGAATCTCCAGTCGTAATGGTCCCCGAGAATCTTTTGCTTATCCAAGGCTAAGAGCTTCGCTTCCATGAACGACTTCCCGGGCAGCTTGTCATCCTTAGAATATTCAAGGGACGAAAGATACTTCTTTTCTTGTGGTGAGATCTCATTCTCCTTCATTTTCAGGATTATATCTTCCACGTCCACATCGAAGGAAGCTTCAACAAGATCGATTTTGTCTGGCTCCTGCTCATACTCCACACTCGGCTTTTGAAAGCGAAGAAGTGATTTATAGCTGCTAACGACGTCCACTTTATCCACGCTCTCGGAAGAGAAGACCTGCTCTGGCAAGCGGTTGTGGAGCAAAGAGTATTTCAAATCGTTTTCCAGATTTTCAACATCAATATGATAGGCGCCGTGATTGTTTGTGAGAATCACCAAGCGCGTCGGGGAAGGAAATACAGAATAGAGATGTGCCTTGGCAAGTAATTGGGCATTTTCTCTGGTTTGATCTAAGGGATAGCGCCTGACTTTAAAGCCTAATGGGAAATATTGATCAGTCGCGCAATATTCGTCAATTGGAGAGGTGGTACTCTTTCGCTTTTGTTCGTCGGTGAGTTGGAAAAGACTCTCACATGTTTCCTTCTTGTTAGATGGTAAAAGAATGTACTTGTTCAAAACAGATAAGTCTACCCAGTCAGACCAATGAAACGGCACCGCCTTTCCAGGGTTTTCGCGTATCCACGCAAAATAAATTGATAAGGTAAGACGTGGATCAAAAGGTTGTATATGTGGTTTCTGTTGTGGGTCCTTCCCAGATGAAAGAAAATACTGTGGGATAGAAATTTCTGTTGGCGGTTTGTAGTCAGGTCGAAGAAAGTAGAGGCTGTGCGAAGTGTCAGAACTCAACTTTTCTGTGGTAGTTTCGTTCACTTTTTTTTGGAAGTTTATATTGTCATCTAGGCTCAAGCTTTCGGATGTTACTTTCGCGTACATCAAACGAAAGTTCAAAAAAATGGCCTGGCGAGTGTTATCTGCTAGACTGATTGGAGACCTCGTGAACATCATGACATATGCGAGGCCGATCACCATCAGCAAGAAGATTATTCTCAAAGCTCTCCTCAGTCGAATCATTTTCATTATTCGTCAAACCTTAACTTTGGGTGAGATAAAATGAAACGATGAAAAGCTCCGGGGTTAAAGTTATATCTTCTAAAGTTGCGGTGTGGGCTTCAACCGATCATTCAAAAGAAAACAACGCAAAATAGTCTCGAAATTTTATAGTGCTGAAGATTATAGCATCCACGATTAATGAAGCAGAGCGTCAAACGAAGCAAGTGGCGTACAAAACAGAAGAAAAAGCTGAGGACCACGCAAATCTCAAAGAAGAATGTTGTATAGAAGGATGTTACGTAAACAGAGCCATGATTTTAGGATTTTTTGTGCTCACGATGCAGCATCAGGTCTTCTAAGCCTCACCCCTTTGGCTTGCTGTGATTGCGGCACGCATGTAAGGATGTACTTAGCTTTCAAATTGGTTGAAAGTTCGCACTGTCCAGTCGGTAGTAAAGATGAGTGTTCGAATTTTCGGAATTGGGTGCCAACAGAGGTCCTACCAAATTGAGAATTGGCACAAAATTCTTGAAGAGACCCGACAAAGAGTGAACGGTCATAGTACGCACTTCCTTTGGTCCCCCCCTTCTGGTTTTTTCTTCTGAGCTCTCACAAACCGTATCTCAACTTCAGTGAAATTGTGTGTGTGAAACTCATTAAATGCGGGCTCGTGTCATCTGGGTGCAGAGGAACTGTATAAAAAGGGTTCATGTACACAAGCTCATGGCGGACGTTGATTCGTTCCCCTCCTCAAGTTCTGCAGCTTGGGTCAAGTACGTCGATGTCACACGAATTATGAAACTTTCGAAAAAGAGACGTCAAAGTGCGTATTCTTGAATAGAGAATAGTGGTGAGATTTAAAGCGGCGGCATCACAGTTTATATCATGTGGGCTGGACCACTTAAAACATATGTTTGGAAATCCAACTGATCCGACGCACAACTGCTGTTGAGAGTATTAGTTCTATTTAACACTGCTACTGATTCCTGTTTCTTGTTCTTGCCTGTAAGAGGACATTCGCTCGAACGCCGCCCATGGTTATGGCCATATGCAGTTAAAGCATTACCGCGATATGCGTCTGGCCTCTTGCGTTCGTCCAAACAGACCTTAGATAAAAGTACCATATTCTCATTTACTATACTGTGCTTATATCATATGGAATAAGACATCAATTGTACTTCATGTACAGTGTTTATTTCAGACGTGTGTACTTCTTGTAAAGCCCTCTCGCTCATCAAACTGACCGATTATCCAGAGATTCTGTCTATCAAAGGACACATGGATGCGGATGCATTCCGAGTTTTTGACTAAAGTCGTGTAATTGGCTTGCTAGAAAAAGACTGCTGGTATAGAAGTATCTGCCAAGCAACAAAATTCTATGCATTTTGAAGTAAAACTATGGACTATGGTTGCAAAGATGAGTATTCAGATGATTTCTTGTTCAAAGCGAGCCCCGCTGCAGATAAATTTTGAATTCCATCACCAAACTTGTCCAAAAACTCATGTATTACTCCATACTTATTCTTTAACAACAATCGAGGCAGCACCCATTCCTGTTCCAATGCACATGGAAGTTAAGCCAATCTCGCCCTTCTTCAACAAAGGCAAAATAGTGGCATATTGCCTGGCACCGGTGCATCCTAATGGATGACCCAAGGCAATAGCACCACCGTTTATGTTCAATCTCTCTCTAGGAATATTGCACGTTTCAGCCGAGTACAAGCATTGTGCAGCGAAGGCCTCGTTGACTTCAAAGACGGAAATGTCACGAACATTCAAGCCAGTTTTCTTCAAAACACTTGGGATGGCCACCGCAGGTCCAATGCCCATGATTTCTGGGGGTACACCCACAGAACTGCACAAGACAAACTTGCCCTGGATCGGGTACCCCTTCTTCTCCGCCAAGTCCCTTCTCATCAACAACACAGCGGCAGCACCGTCAGATACTTGTGATGCATTCCCGGCGTGGGTTGTCCCCGTGGGTTTGAACGCAGGCTTCAACTTGCCCAACAGCTGAGCGGTGACACCCTTTCTTGGTCCCTCATCGGTGTCTACCGTGAACTTCTTGATTTTGCCCGAGCCTTCGTCCTCATCATCCTCATCTTCCTTTGTGTATGCCTCAATAGGCAAAATCTCAGACTTAAAAGCGCCCGAGGAAACTGCGTGTTCAGCCTTAGCGTACGAGTCAGCGGCAAACGCGTCTTGCTTATCTCTTGGGATATTGTACTTCTCGGCAACATTCTCGTTCGTGATGCCCATGGGTATCATGCACTTGGCCATCTCCGCGTTCTTTTGTAACTCAGGGTCAATTTTAGGGATCGACTGGGGCCCGTAGTTCGAGGACATGGACTCCACACCAGCACCGATACCGCAGTCAATTTCACCACATTTGATCTTGTTGGCGATATCTGAGATGGCCATCAAGCCGGAGGAACATTGCCTGTTGATAGCCACAAAAGCAGCAGTATTTGGGATTCCGGCGGCAAGACATGCACCTCTGTGTTCGGATGCTCCTGCCGCAACATTCAAAACGTTGCCGACAGCAACATCTTCAATCAAATTCGGGTCTACTCCCGTCTTCTTGAGGAAGGCAGTCAAGAACTGAGTCAATATCCAGTCGGAGCCAACATCTTTGAAGGAGCCCCGGCCACCCTTAGCAATCGCAGTTCTGTACGCACCAACGATAACCACGTCATCTGGCTTTTTTTCAAGCACGGCTTGCTTTGAGGATGGGGACAATTGGCCAGCCAACTGATTTAATCTTTCCATTGTTAAGGCCTTCTTTTTTTCTTTCTTATGATTCTAGAATTCGGCTAGAAGTGTGCTGAATCGCTATAAATGTAAGTGGTAGACTTTAAAAAGGCGTGGGGGGCAAGCCTTCTTATAGTGTGAGGTCACATTCACCTGGGGTCACTCCGCACTTATGCGCGTGAGGTGAGCCGAGGAAGAGTCCCGAGGTAATGAGTGTTTCTCCATGCACTCCAGCTTGGGCAGTTCTACTAGGCAAGGTGTTGGCACATTTAGTTGAAAGAAATGCGACAACAAATTAGACGAGCATATGGCCTTGTCGTGTCTTAGAATTTGCTTGAGCTGGGGTTAGGTCCTTGAGATCTCTTTTAGTTTGCCTGATTACATCGCGGGAGTTGAAATTCTTTGATGATAGTTCGCACCCACCAGGAACGAAAGGGACCGAGGCACAATAGCTTCCGCAATGCGAGCCAGCACACGTTGCGTCTAAGATTTTAGGTCTTTTTTTTGCCGACTGAATATAACACGAGCTGACAAAGTCTGTGCATCGCATTTTGTCTGGGATGCCAAAGCCGAACGATCCCGGAAGCAATTCCCGCAAATGGAATTCCGAAATGTGGGGAAAATTCCCTGGCAAACCGCGGAGCATTTAGATCGTGCATTATCTAAGCACTCATTATGTATTTCATCCATGAAACCAGTCCAAGCAGAAGCACGCTCTTTTTATACAACTGTCGGAGGAATAGTTGGATGTTCACAGATTGTTCCGAGATTGGACCATGCATAGTAGCCCAAAATTTAAAAAAAAAAAAAACACTCAATAGATCTGGACCCCTTGTCCTTTTACTCTCCTGTTTTTGTTTACCCCTATTGTTGGGCGGCAACCACTCCACTTTCTTGTAGATGTACAACCCCCGTGGTGTTGACCTCAACTCATCTCTTCTCCTCTTTTCGTTCTTAATCGTACCTTCGTATCTCTTAATTGTCTGACTTATTCTCACATAAAAAGTCTTGAGGCGTTGATCCGCCCACCGTGATTATAAACCATCAATAAATTTGTCAAGAAACACATATCGTTGCGAATGCAATTATGCAACCATCATTGGGGAAACGATTATCGCGCCGGATTGACAATCATACATCTTTTCGAGTATAAATCAGGACTTCAAGGAAAAGTATGAGCATTTTCGACGGGACGATAGTCTGGGAAGCATCTACTCAAGAAGCAAGTCTTTATCCTGCAGTTTTTCTCCCAGTTTTCAAAACTTCTGTAATTTTCGAAAAATTCGTCTCAGGTACACGAGAAAGTACAGCCGTCATTCCTCACTTGACCGCATCGACCAAGCAACACCTCACAGAAAAGTTCTCGAAATTCACTACGCTCTTTTCTCCCGCTCAAATGAGAATATTCCAATGAAAGGCTCAATATTATCAAGATGTCCTTCGGGACACGTACCTGTGAATATCAAAGAAGGTAGTTTGTCATGAGGTCCCTGTTCTAGCAGCAGATTATCGGCATCGTCATTAGTTCTAGGGATGGTCACAATCTTTGTGAAGTCAATGCGTAGCATGCCATCGGAATCCACCACAACGTACAACTTGTACTTCTGATTAAACATGTCTGCACTATCGTTGTAGTGAATTTTGCCCCTTGAAGTGCCCGTAATGAGACCCATGGTCGAACCAATCCCCATGATGTCAGTACCTTTCACCTTAATGTAGACACCACTAAGTCCGAAAGGGGAGCAGTGGATTTCGAGGTCACATTCGTTGGCGTAGTGGAACTCCAAATAATTTTCACCCATAGCAAATCTCGAAAGGAGGTGGCGAGTCGGGCTAGCGGTTCAATAATATTGAAAAACAATGCAAAACCTTGAATGAGGATACCTTTTTTTGCCTTGAGGCTATAGTGGCAGAAGATAGCAAAGTTATGCAAGTTAAGAGTGGTGGAAAAAAGCGTCGCTTGATGCCGCTGGGATTTACTGGTGCGAGTTAATTACACAGGCCGGATCAAGGGCCCAAGATTTGAGATGGCAACTAGACCCTCACATGGAGTTCTGCCATTTTATTGATACATGAATCTAATTCCAATGGATTTAGCTTTTGTGTTTCCAGCTATCCTTGACCGCTTCCTGGATTTTATGGTGGCAGTATCTTCTCACACGTCTTTCAAACTGCGCATCTGCGCCACGTACTCTTTATAAAGGCCCTCTGAAGAAACAAGCAAGTTCAAGTGATTTGAAATCCAGTTCAAATGCTGGACAAGTCCTGTAATATTAGTCCTCGCCGTATCATTCACATTCCGATTGAAGTGCTTTTCTGCCACTCTTGCTGCCCCCACGAGATCAATCAAATCATGACCTTCGCTCACCAACGCATTCTTTTTTGCCACTAAAAGATTCGAGCTGAAATTCGATGCTATAATTGCTCGTATTGGAGTCTCCGGGTAAGAGCTGGGCACAGTGACAAAGACATCCACCATGTGGTTCCTATATGCCCAAAGCTGGGGAACGTTCTCTGTGTTCACAATTGGGATTTGCACTTTGTACCGGGCTTCTGTTTTGCTTCTGTTGAACAATTTGACGCTCAGGCCAAGCTTCTGGGTCATCTCCCCGATGTAAAATTCTCTTTTAAGGCGTGTCGCTTCGGTGACAGTGACTTGCTCGTCTTCAAAAGCAACAGCGGCCAAGTCGACTTTTTGCAGCGGTTGAGGCGTTGGTACTGGAGTTGGTGTTAATGACGAGGTGGACAGTGCACTGGATTTCTCTGAATTCTTGAACGTGATAAACTTCATCGTCTGCCGTTTCTCTTGCAGCAAGAATAGCTCCAAGTACTTGTTTAAAGTCTGAATTTGCGATAGTAGGCCCTTTCCGTCAACAAGCTGAATTTGCTCGGCTTCGGTGGGAATAAGTTTTTTTGGTTTCGTGAGATTTACGATAGTACGGTATCCCCGCTCGATATTGACGGAGAAGCCTCTTGGAATATCCGTATTCAACACAACAATGGACGGGACCGCCTTCGTATTATGCGGGTATTCTGCGGGCACAGTCAAGCTGAAATTGAGCAGATCTAACTCGAAGGGAAAGTCCGGATCCGCAGGTTTCACAATGAAACTTAAGTAGATAGGTTGCTGAGGATCCCTATTTATCACGTTTTGTATATGATTGACCACGATGGCCTCTTTTGCCTTCCGAGAAAGGTTTTTGGGGACATCTGTGCCCTAGTTCAGAGGTTTTTCCAGGATCATCTGAGATTCCACGATCTTAGTCACTGAGCAGCCATTTATAGTTATTGGGAGATGTTTTCTAACAAGTTTTACCACCTCAAGAAACCTGAAATCTTTGAGTTTGCTTTTTGGCTTTTGTTTTTTTGCTTCCTGACCCTTAGGAGTAGTGCTTTTCTTGTCTTTTGGACCATTTTTGATGCTTTTGTTACCATCTCTTCCAATTTTCTTCTGTCTATTACGGCCGCTTCTTGGCCCCTGTTGTTGGCTCACCTGAAGATTTGAAACATTCTGTTCATTACTTGAAGTAACTTCTAGCCCCTTCTCAGAAACAGGTGGCATTATCGAATATTCTAGTTGACTTGGAAAATGCCTGATGTCGGAGAACGGCAAATTTCAAAGATGGGCAGGAGAGCCGCGCGAAGCGGATGAGTTCGAATCGACTAATTCTTCGATGATTCATTGCTGCAACGAGCGTAATGATCTAGCCACATTGAAGTTTCACGATTTTTTTGGTGAATGAGACTTAAATTAGCCTAAATTGGGGGACCTAGTATGTATAAAGAATATAGCCTACTTTTGTTTATAACATGTCAGTTTCCATCAAATCATACGTTATGGAAAGTACAGAAAGGTATTGTCCGTTAAACTTGAGACGAAGGATGAGTATTATTAAGGTTGAATTCTTTTTTCGCCTCTTTTGCTTTCTTATCTAAAATTTGTGATTTAAGTAAAAGTTTCAATCTTGATCATGTGACTAGTTTAATTCCTCCAATTCATACTTTCTCCACGGTGTTTCTTGAGGGATAATAAATTTACTTTCATCTGAGTGGCTGTAAAACCTCTGATGTGATAAATAGCTTCTCTGATAGCCTAGAAAAACAAAAGTTGACAATAACAAAGCATGTTTAGGCCATATGATTTTTCTCTTGAATAATAATACTAGTTCTCAACTTTGTTGATGCACACTATCCGCACACTTAGCCTCTCGTTTGCACCCACAGAAAATCTCAATACTTTATACTCTTCTTTTGATCTTCTTGAAACTTGCTATGTTCCGAGTGAAACCAATCACACCAACAATGTTGGTCAGCAGCATTCTAAATGCTCCCGAGATTCAATTTGCAAAGAAATGTTTTGTTGGAGGAATCACTACCTTGTACAAGAAAGGAAAGAATTTGCCCAATATGACCAATATGGAATTGATGAAATTTGTTTGGCTCATATCCCACCTACTTTGTGACTGTGGATTTTTGACTTCTTTGTGGAGTGAAAATCCATTGTGGTATTACATTTCCATTGGTGGTGCCATTTCCACCTATACCGTTGCCTTTGTACGACATATGCTCGTCTTGGTACATGGAAATTTGGCTTTTCGGGAGGAGATTCCATTGGCATCTCTCTTAAATGCAGAAAATTCTTTGCTTTTAGTTGCCGCCTGGCTTCATTTCACATCAAGTCCCAACCCCTTGAAATTGATTTCATTTGCCATCTTCTCGTACATGAATTTGATATCGTTCATTTTACACGAGCTCATTTCGGCCAACTCGTTTACTACTGCGCTATTTCCTGTTTTGAGCTGCATTGAGCCCCTTCTCTTGGGGTTTGCTTGTTTTTCGGACTACTGTCTTCAGTTGCTTTACTACCGTGAGTACATTCTTGACGAGACTCCTCTTTTGTATGGACTAATTTTTTCATACATTAGCTTCAAGAGGTTGGAGAAATCAGAACTTGCTCGTGTCAGCTTATACAGCTTTTTTGACATGACATTTGCCATATTGATTAAAGTGAGAGCCCCTCAGTTCTTGCTTCATCTCCTTGAAAGACTTCAGGCATTTGTTTATCTCTTGGTTCCAATCCAAATTAGCGGAGACTCTGAGAATGTCACCCGGAAGACTTCGGTCGGAACCAGAGCCACATCAATATTTTTCGAGCCTATTCTGATTATCAATGATTTGAACTAGGAGTGTTTCTAAGCCGGAATCATGCAAAATTTAAGAAGTCTTTAATTCTAGTACGTAGCATCGTCTTCCGATTTATACTTGCGCTAGATCCTCTTTCAAGGCAATCAATCTCTCCCAACCTTCGGAATCCTCCCACATGAGTTTACCCTTTGACATCAATGATCTAATGCTGCTTCTGGCCTTGTACTTCCAGTCTTTGCATACTACATCCCCAGCATCATGCTTTCCGGGAAGATCTCCAAACGATTCGTAAGCAGAGATGAGATCCGAACATGATTCGACAGCCTCATTCCACATAGCTTCATCTGTAGTCAATTCAGGTCGAAGTGATGTTGCGCGGTATGCCTTCTCGAAACTTTCCAAGGCAGTCCATGGCTTTCCTCTCCAAAGCTCAACTTTGCTGACTATTCTCCATAATCTAGCTGAGTGATTGATGACCGTTGGTAAGACTTCACACACCAAGTTTATACAAGATGATTGGAAATGTGTAAGTCGACCCTCCGTTGGATATGGCTCCTCGACAAGTATCTGAACCAAAGTTTCTATGACTGTTATATCAACTTTTACCTCGCTTCCGCTTTCTTTGCCAATTTCAATTAACTCTTTGGTAGCATGAAGCACCTCATTCCATTCACCCAATTTTGCAGCCACTGTGAGATAGTTCTCGAAGATCCTCCATGATCTTTTAGAACCTTCACCTTGCTGCAAAGCTCTTTTCAACGCAGTAAATGCTTGTCTGGTTTTGTCAAGTCTCAATAGAGCGCTAGCCAAGTTAGACCAAGCATGTGTTTGCGTGTCATCCAAAGAGACACATCTGGTGAAGGCTTCCGATGCCAATTCAAAATTTTGTCCCTCTAATCCACAACAGCCATAGAAAAACCAATTTTCGTAAGAAAGTGGACTAGCGCTCAAGCAATCTTGCATGTGAGAAATGGAGGTCTCGAGATCGCGTTGGAGTCCCGTATGAGTAGGAGGCTTGTAGTAAAATCTAGACAACGAAGCTTTCGCCTTGGCATACTTCCCAATGTCCCATGCCTTTTCCCATAGGGCAGGATCTTGCCTGATATCGCCCAAAATCGAAATGGCCCTTGAATCCTCAGGGTGAGTCCGAATACGCTCCTTCAAGAGCTTTTCTGCTTGGACTTCGTCATCAACTGCAGCATAACATAAAGCAGCCTCTGTCATCAAGTTTAACCGCTCATATATTTCAATCGCAGACTTTAACACTCCAAGTGACATATATTTCTCGGCGAGCTTTGAGTCCATGGTCCATTGTGCCATGAGAGGAAGCTGGTGAATAAATCTAAGACGAGATGACACCGCCGAAGACTCTGCCTCCTTTGAGTCTTGGGCTTGAGGGATCATTCGACTTTTAATGTTGACACCCACTTCTTCGACCAACGATGTCATCTGCAAAATACCTCTTTCAACGGTCCTTGCCTTGTTAGTTTCCAAAGAGGACCGCTCCCACAAAGTTCTGCCAAAAACCGTCCAATTGGTGGTTTTAGGTGTTGAAAACACTATTCTATTGACAATGGCCGAGAGTTCCTCTTCAACCATCGAGTTTCCGACCGGCGTGGTCTGTCTAATGGTTGTGAGTCTTAACAAAAGTTGGACATTGTCTAAGTCAGAAAGCGATGGTTGGTTATTTGGGTCCAACTCACGAAGATCAGCGGGGATTCCATCTGGGGTCATGGAAATGGGTAAGAGTCTTTTGCCCTCCTGAGTAAAATGTGAAACATTGTCTAGTCTTAATTTCTTTGTGTTAGGCTCCTCCTCTGGGGCAACATCTCCCAAAGACTCATATTGTGGCTTTTCCAAGAGTAAATCAGAGTTCAAGTCGAAGCTCTCGGGGGTGTGTTGCGCTTCAGAAGTAGTATAAATTCCCGCATCTTTACTTTTAGCAAGCAAGACCAAGGATGCCGTATGGAAAGTCTGGAACTTAGTTCTTTTAGCTTTGGCGCCAGTGAGCACAAATTGAAGCTGGGCGACGTCTGCTGCCTTGTGCAAAAAGGGTTCTGCGAGATGCTCAGTTTGAGCATGTATTCCGTTTCTGGCGCTTTCTAATAAGTACACTAAATGTACATGCCTACTCAATTCAGGGTCCTCCGCAGAGCTCAAAGCCTCAACCAAGTCAGCGTTCAAAAGAGAAGATGTCACAGATGCCAAAATATCAGACGGTTCTGAAAGTACAGAAAGATGAACTTGCAATGCCCTGGCCCTCCACCAAGAAAGAGAAGCATTTTCTGGGGAATGAAGAATTGCAAGTTTTTCGATTGTGTACAATGTGTCGGCAGTGACATCTTCGATGGAGACCGTGTGGTCAAGCTGTATCAAAGAGTGTTGCACGTGTTGAAGGTTCTCCAAAAGAACAAGAGAAAAAGCCAATAGTGTTGGCTCATGCATCAAGTCATACGCACATTTTCCTTCGATGCTCAACATGTTTACTGCATCTGCTTGCAAAGCGGAGTCTTCCACATTGGGAAACCACATGGTTTTCGCCGACACATCGCTTTGTGGACCTGTAAAGTTACACTGCACGAAGAGCTGGAGAAAAGTGATGGCAATGAGTTGGCACGAAATGGAGGGAAGCCTTTCGATCAAGAGATGTGCTAACTCGTCTAGCACTACTCGAAGACTCTTATGAGGGTACTGCGAAGTAATTTGAATAGCCTCTGTACCTTCTAAGACAGCGCCAAACTTCTCTTTGGCTAGCAAATGATCATAGTTGCCATGTAAGATCGTCAAAATCGTTGGTTCAAGTTCCAGTCCCGATTGCGATGAGACTTCATTAACATAGGCCGCTTTTTCTGCTGGGAGAAGTAGCAAGAGTTCCACCAAGGCACGTCTGAATTCGGACATCAGTGGTGTGAATGTATAACGATTCGAATGTGGAATTCTAGATTAGAGTCAAGAATAAGATTTAAACCACACAAGCATTTTTTTTACGCATTAGTAAGTTGATGCCTCAGTGCATGAATTTTCCAGACGCAAAATGCGCGATGCGGCTCAAGGTTCTGGTGCGTAATTAAAGCGCAAATGACTGTACCTTTCATATGCTAGGTTGTATTAAATATATTTAAAGTATTGCAGTCGTAAGTATTTGCAGAAACGACTGATTCGACCCCTCGTTCATGCTCTTAGTCCGATGAGCCCCCAAAAAACGAAAGCCTCTTCTTCCCGTCAGATTGGTACGTCTTACCTCGCCTATGATCACTATGCTTGCGTGACTTCTTCAAGGAATTTCGAATCGATACTCGATTCATTTCCGAATTTTGATTTTCATCATCTGAAGCAAAATCGATCACTTGCTCCTGGAAATTGATTGGTTGAGTCGGTATATCTGACAATCGCTTCCTGAAGGTTGGTTTGGGACCATCACTACCATCTAATCCCATGTCAATGAGTGAATTTTCAACAATCTTATGGGCTGGGTTCTTTCCGATCACTTCTCCATCTTCCTGCTTCACAACAATTTCTGGCTTGACTGAACCATTCATCTTACTCGAAAGATCACCAAGGTCAATAAGATCACACTCGGCGAGGTCATCTTTTACCTTTTCGAAATTAGATGCCAAACTGAGGCCACTCATCTCCTTTTGTAGCCCCGCATCCAAATCCTGCGACTTTTTGATGGTAACACCCGGCTTTGGACTACCTAGAGCTTTGCCCCATGGATTTGAGCTACCCCTTTTCGGCTCTGGCCTAGTCACATCTTGATGCAAGTTTTCGTACCGCCCACTAAGATCAAATTCTTTAGTGAGGTGATTCTGATTATTCTCATACCTTGTCTCAAGCGCAGATATCTCTTCTTCAAGGTTTTTCGGCTCAAGAACCACTTTTGAAGTCTCTGCCCTAGATTTTGGTAACACGAATGATGAAAGTTGTACAAGCTTCCTACGGTCATCAGTACCGTTAGCCTGTTGAAGTGGTTCAAGTAGTGGACCCTGGTATGGACTGCCCTTAACCGATAATGTAGATTTGTTTTGATTCAGCGAGTCATTCACATCTTCGCGCTTCGAAGATCTCGAGCCTGTACTCTTTGTTCTTTTAACAGACTCAGATCCGACTGCAAAGATCTCGTCTGCTAGTTTCTCGGCTTGATTGTCACGTTTTGGTTTTTCATCTTGCTTCCATGCTTCGACCAGTTCAAAATCTGTTCGACTATTCATTGCACCAACTACCGATGGTTCAGAAAGCTCGCGTGATTTAACGCTCTCCAATGCAGACTCGTACTCATTAATTTCCAAGCTTGACCTGGCCTTGTGCAGACTCGAAGGCATTTTTAATTCTGGACCATTACCTGACAAATTATGGTGAATATCCTCTAAAGACGGGTAGCGTTCGGCGATGTGGTCCAACTCGGGCAAGTCAACATCCAAATCCACGCTTTCGATTGAACTATCAGCGAGGTTTTCTTCGTTAGGTATCAGTTCTTTAGATGATGTTAGTTGTTCTGGAATCAATTGCACGTCTTTGTCTTTGATCACGTCGGGTTTGATTTGGATCGATCCCGCGATTTGATCAACCACAGGAATGGAGGTTTGGTCAGGTTTACTCGAGGAAATCGGGGTCTCATTATCCTTTCTATGAGCCGAATTTTCACGCGATAACCTCAGGATACTCACTCGCAGGGTGCTCTTCGAAAGACCTTTTTTCTGTTTGCTCAATTCGTAAGCCTTCTGTTGTTCTTGCTGCTCGAGATAAAATTGTTGTTGTTTAAGAAGTTGATTGTGCTTTTCTCTTTGCATTTCATAAAGTGCTTGAAAGTTGTATTCTTTGGCACCATAAAAGTCTTCCAAATCAAGATCATTGTAGTCTGTTCCCATCAACTTTGCCACGAGCATTAGGATTTGTACGATGTTGGGACGATATAACGGATTTTCTTGGAGCATAATTATTATGAGATTTTTCAAATCACCAGAATATACTGGTGCCAGTGGGAATTGAAATGATGCATGCAAGATAGCTATGTCACCGTTGGCTTCAAACGGGGTCGTGTAGTAGCAAAGCTTGTAAAGAAAGCAGCCAAGTGCCCATATGTCAGATCTCTCATCTATTGGAAGGCCACGGTATAAGTCAATCATCTCGGGCGATCTATATTGAGGAGTTGTATGGTAAAGGATATCGTTGCCTAACAATTGGAATTCATGCGGATGTTGAGCTGGTCTAATTGGGGAAGAAACGGAGCCAAAGTCACAGAGCTTAAAGCAGTTTTCCGCATCGATCAAAACATTTTCAATTTTGATGTCCCTATGAATGAGCTTGATTTTGTGCATTTCATAGACACCGATCGAGATGTCGAGCATGATCTTTAAAATCTCTGACTCCGAGAGCTTCTGTCTGATCCGGTCATTCATAAAGTCAAGCAAAGATTTATTGGGACACAACTCCATGAGTACCAAAACCTGATAGGAACCGTCGGCCAAACGTTCTGCATTAGAATCGAAGTACTTTACAATAGATCTGGCGTTTTTCAAGGTTTTCATGACATCTACTTCCTTCCGAAGAGTGTTGAGACCGTTCTTGTCAGGCACAAGCACTTGCTTCAAACATCCGATCTCGGATTCGCCTTCTGCGGGATCCATAATCACCTCATATATTTTCGAGAATCCACCTTCAGAAAGATATCTGACAACCTTCACATTGTGTGTTCCCACAATTAGCGTGGTACCCTCAGTAAGCATTACGGGTGCTGATATTGGGCGCAGATTCTTGAGCTTAGCTTTTTGTCAATGGCGGAGCCAATTGTAATTACGACGTGAAACGCCACGCCACTAATAACCAGTCGCCCCCCAATGAGGCTGAGACAAGGTAGTGCGCGCCACGCTTTTTGGGGGTAATGATTCGGGACCGCGCATGCTGTGACATACGTGATTGCTCATGCTCTCATTTCGCACCTAGAGAAAGATAGCAGTTTCATGGGCTGCTAATTTGCAAACTCCTCTCCAACAATCTTCTCCATCTCATCATATGTGAATGGTATGAAAACGATATCACCACCTGCTTTGCTTCTGGCTAGAGAGCACATTTTATGCTCCACGAACTCATGCAACATCGTATTGAAATTGGTTCGGTTACTAGCAATGTATTCTTGCACGCACTTATCGTAAGCATCCTGGAGATCGAGCCCTAGTTTTGGATTTCCACGAAGACCAGTCCGAGCAGATTTTGAGGCGGTCATCTCGACAATCTTCTCTAATTGCATCTTCAATAATATTTTGTAAAGATTCTTGGCGTTCGCTGTTAAAGACGTGAGCACATGTTTGACTCCCTTGGTGCCAACAAATTTTCTAGACTTGCCGACACTCAAGACATCTTTAAAAGACATTTCAACCCGATAGGCCTCATGTGTGGTCACCTCATGCCAGAGAAAGCTGAAGTTTTTGAAGCGATAGAGATCCCATAAAAGTCCCACATTGATGTGGTCTGTTGAGACCAAGAGCCACACATTGGGAAGCGACGCTAGCTGAGAGAGAAAAATCTGAGCCCTTTCTTCTCTAAACGGTTCCCCGTCTATGTTATGTATCACTAGAACGAGCTTTGGTTTGACGATGTTGTTCTTTTTGCTTTGGGTGACGTTTTTCTTTAGATATGACATCAAGAATGGAAATGCTTCAGATACGTGCTTTGGCATACGAAGACTTCCTCTTTCTTTGTCTTCTTCACTCACAACCACTGAGACAATATCATGTATGACTGACTTTAATTTTGTGCCAGGATTGTACCCGTTGATTACCATAACTCCAGGTAGTTGATCATCATCCTGGACATTCCTTGAGTACCATGTAGGAAAGTAGTCCTCAAGTAATTCCATAATAATGCTGATTTTGGATCCGACACCAAAAAAATTGAGATTATATCCCTGGCTTAGCTCCATACACCACTGGTGAAAATTTCCTCTTTGATGAACTCTCATTGCATCTTTCTCGTCTCTATGTATAAGTTGCCCAAGAGCTATCATTGGTCTGAATTCCTCGTAATCGAGCGACGGAGCATTGGCCGCAATTGAATTAGTCGATGGGCGGAATCTGAGACTGTGTTGTTCAAAATAGCCCTCACTTCCATCCAAAAAAAACGCTCTTTCGTCTGCAAGCCTTGCATTGGGGTCAAGCAACATAGCCACGTTAGGTAGATGCGTTCTCATGTATTTGCTATCCTTCGAGTTTCCGTCGTCGTCAATTTCAGGCAAAGGAAACGGGGTAAACTTTCTTGCTTCAGAATAGTCTTGTTCCGTGAGTGTTGGAGCGGGTCTTTTAATGCCACTTATAGTTGGTACCTCTACAAAAGAGCTCTGTCCCTTGTTCTCGAAATTGAGAGCTATAGGGTTGTTTGTGTTCACATTTTGTCCATCAAATTTCTTCGACTCAGGCGAAGCGGTAGCTGATTTCCCACTGAAAATTTCAAGACCATCCATTTGAAATATACTCACCACTTCTTTCGTGACATTTTCTTGTCTGCTCGGTCTCCCCTTTTTCGACCGCCTTTCTGGTGATCCTTTGCTGGGAGATGGAGAGCCAAATAAGTCTGGGCGTAGTCTCTTCTTCGGGGTCTGGGGCTTTCTTGGTGAACCGACTCGCTTTTTCGGAGACTGTGGAGGGCTCTTACTCACGTCAGGTTCTGGAATTGGCTCGAAGCCTTGTTCTATGAGCTTCGCATTATGTGCGTCGAATGCCAACTTTTCCTCTCGTTCCACTTCCCTCTGCTTTTCTTCTTCCTCCTTCTGCATTCTAAGCTGTCTCTCTTGTGCAATGCGTTTTATCTCCCTTGCCGCTTGCTCTTCCGCCTCTCTCTTCTTTTCAAGCTCTTGCTTCCTCGGACTTCTTCGAGGATTGAGATCAGCTGAAGTGGGCTTTTTCGGACTTTCTCCTTTTCTGGGGCGTCCTCTTCCTCTTTTTTTAGGAGTTGCAGGTTCCTCGAGGGATTCACTACTGACTTCAATGATGTCTTTGAGCTGGGGCTGGTTTTCTTCAAGTTGGTGGTATTCATCCTGGAAAGAGTCTTCCTCCAGCATTAATCTGGCAGACGGCCGTATCTTTCGACTCAGATTAGTGGCATGTTTACCATTGATTATAGGGTTGCTCAAAGTAGTTGATTCTCTACCCTCCGTAGGCAGAGAATGAGCAGTCTCGCCATGTGTCATATGCGGGGTAATTCAAGAACACGTATTTTGAGTAGTGAATTAGATCAATAGTCGTAATCACCAAAGAAGCCTCCACGTAAAACAATCTCAAGCGAGATCTTTGAAACGCGTTTTGGTCACGTGCGCATCAGGTCAAATTTATACAAAATTGAATTATTTTAGATACTGAGAAAGCCAAAGCTCGGATATGTATTTACGTAAGTTTTACCGAGTGATCTGAAGTTCCTAAAGAATAGTGTTTAGGCTTCTGTATGGCATCTTCTTGTTTTTTCAATCTTGTGATCAACGCCAACCTTGATATGCACATCTGAAAGTCACGTGTGCTCATCGTTTACTATTTTCCACTTTGTCTAGAACCGAAGACAACAAACTCCGCCTTCAAGCCGATACAAGGTCTTCCATCGCATATTTATCCTCCAAGCGTCACCCAAGCACATTAACCCGATTTAATCATATTCGATTGCTTTTACCAGGAACATGCTTTCATTTTGCCCATACTGTTCGAACATGCTTTTGATCTCGCCTGGAGATGACAATTGCAACAGTCTTTACTGTCCAACTTGCCCCTATGAATTTCTGGTAGCTGGAATTCAGATGTACGACAGAAAGGTGCTACCCAGAAAGGAAGTTGACGATGTGTTGGGTGGCGAAGGTGCTTGGGATAACGTTGACCAAACAACTGCGCAGTGCCCTATCGATTCATGTGGCAACGACAAAGCTTATTTCTTCCAGTTGCAGATCAGATCCGCAGATGAGCCAATGACGACGTTTTACAAATGTACCAAATGTTCTCATCAATGGAGAGAGAATTAAGTATGTGCCATCAAATTTCGCCCCATATTGCATCGTTTAGGTGTTGGTGTATTCCAAACTCATCAAGGATAAGAAATATTCGAAAACTGAACAGAATCACTCAAAATAACTCAATTGATTTTCGAGCCATGTTCCAGAAGCGCAGCCTGAGCTTTGTGTTTCAGCGACTGCCCGAGTTTCTATATTCCTTTTCAGTCGATAGTGAGGCAAACTTTGTCTTTTTCTCTTCAACTTTGCAGAATATTGTCGTTCTGGGGGCGATCCGAGTGAAGATATCCTGGATGAGTAGCGGTTAGAAGACAGGTGGCAAGACTTAAGCGTGTGTGTTTCCCAAAACAACCCATGTTTGGTTTTCTTAAAAATTCTTTTCTCACTCAGGCCCTCCGAATCTGGGGGCTTTTTCCGGGCGCCTTCGAGAAGATCAAAGGAGCTTTCGTAACTATCTGAATCATCATCACTTAGTTCTGCAAGAATTGAGGGAAGCCCACGGCTATATTTAGGAAAATGCAAATCCTGTTTATATTGCGGAAGGTCATGCTTCCTAAAGTAGAGCATCTGTTGTTCCCTGATAAATTTCTCAAAATTTGTGTTTCGCCTCCCTGCAACAATCTTTTGCAAACAGAAGTCTTTCTTTCTTCTTTGGAGATATTCGACATCCTCGGCAGTTCGATCTGCCTCAAAAAAGGGAATTCTGGCTACCTTTCTGAGACTAAGTAGAGCTAATCCACTAGAGGATGTCGTCTCAGATTGTGCCTCTCTTTGTCGCGTCAACTCCTCGATGAACATTTGCTCTCTGTCGCAATCCTCTATATTCCAACGGTTTATGGTTACGACGGGCCGATCTCTAATCTCTTGAGACGGCAAGCCATACATAGTAGCCATCATACTATCATAATTGAACTCCTGCCTGCTGCAAATGTCTCCAAATATTCGAGCCATTATAAACCCAGATGACCATACTTCTTGGGAATAAACGCATGGAAACACTTCTTGCGGTTTAAACATAGAAAGGAACTCTCTCACCTCACTATAAGATGAGTGTCTGGAAAAAAGAAGCTTGATTTTCAAAGGTAGAAGCTCGTTTTGTTTGAGGGGAAGAACCCAATGTCGTCCTAGGAACTCGTAGATTTTGTTACCAGCCTTCGTGACCTTAAGTAAATTTAAGTCCGTGGCTGAGGGAATAGATTCAATAGAGATAGGACAGCATATTCCAGTGTAATCTTTTATGTTGAAGTTAATGCATTGTTTTATTCTCACGATAGAAAAGTCTCCTTTCGGTGATGATCCCCCATAAAAAACTGGGCCCGTATTGAATGCTGTTGGTGGCAACATTGCTCGCCGTAGAATATTTCCGTTAATCCGGTCATATTGTGCAACCAAAAGCAATTTCTGCTTCAAGCTTGAGGCTTTCACAACTAATGAGCCACCAAAATAGCTAAGCACATAGGCCCAAGCTTGTTCAAAACCAAGTGTCGTGTCACAAAACTCAAACTTGATCTCTGGGTCGTTCTTTGGGTATTCTCGTAGCATTGAAATAGCAGTGTGTATTCCATTGAAGTTCGTGGGAATTTCAATATACGGTTCTCCTCTATAAGCAAAAGTAGAATCGAAATAGATGCAATTTAGTATTTTGTCGCCACTGGTATATGGAAACAATGCAGGGGACAAGCGTGCACTTTCACGCCACCAGCTCTCAGCCCGTATATCACCCGTACAAAGTACCGCCCGTGAGACCCGCTCACAATTGAAGCTTATGTTCTCAAAATCTTCCTGTTTATTTCTTGAACTTTCTACTTCTTCGACCAAGAACATACATGCGCCTAAGCAATGATACGCCTCTATCAAAGTTATATAGATCGCGTTGGCCGTGTCGTGGGGAGTCTCAAGGCGCGTTTTTACGTTGAATGGAACCCCTGTTATCAAATTGAGCAGGCCTTTGAGCCTGGAGTCTAAGGATAGAAGCAGTTTCGTCTCCTCCGAACAGTATACGATGCTAGTGAAGCTCTTGTTAGTGATGCCAGACAAATGGTCCGCATGACAATGAGTAAGAAGGAAGACCGACGCTGAAGTGTTGAACCTATCTACGCCGATATAAGGAAACTCTCGCAAGACTCCGTCGAAGGTGTTTGACATATTCTTTGTGTAACTATAAGGATGGCGATATGCTCACCTCTGATGAGATGAGACTTACTGATGGAGGTGGGTGCGAAATAAGTATAGCAAGACAAGCGTCACGACACGCGACATTGGATGGCACTTCATTTTCACCAGACATATGTGCAACTTTCATGGCTGTATTTTGGGGAAGGATGTTGACTATTTCAAGATTGTTATGTACTGCAGACCATTCTCCAGGAAGCTACCTCGAAACACATTATGCTCACAGTAGCAATTACAAGCGCCGGGGGTTCTTTCGCTGGACAGGGGTCAGATCAAAATGCCGTAATACTCCGCTCTTTGGTATTTAAATGCCAACGGGGCCCATTGAACAAGGAAGCGATTGGCTATGGGCATAATCAACCTGCCGCTAAGACTAAGATTGTGCACTCTGGCTAAGGACTCAATGTACACGATTTTTGTTTTGCATCCTCCGAATAGGCTCATAAAAAATAGGGTATATGCAATAGGCACACTAGTTCCTGGGCCATTTACAAGAAGGATATCCGGTTTTGGAAGAAGGCTGAGTTGCTGTACAGTAGAAAAGATGGACTTAATTGTGCTGAGAGTTGACAGGGCAAGCGACTCTCCTACCTTTCTAGCTCTATGGAGCTCTGCATAGTTCACGTTTTTGAAACTTCGAGTGGACTCCTCATACTTCTTTGCTTTCATGAGAGACGCCGCATCGCCCGAAGAAACAAGCCATGTGCGGTGGCATTGAGAGATGTCTGTGTTTTCGAGAAGACGGAGCATTTCTCCTGTGTGGCCACCAGAACCCAAGAAAATCATGAGGCTGGTGTCCACTGGTATGTCTGACTCAGAATGACTTTTCTGTTTTCGGCCATCTCGGAGTGCTGGGAGTACAGCTATTACGCGGATGAGACAAAGGCAAAGTGGCACTACGGCACATATAACCCATGCGCACAAGGCGTTTTCTGATGCCATTGACGCTGATATATGTTATGGCAAGCGCGTCTTGAGTTGGTGTAGGAACCTGTTGGGTATGGGGCAGTGTATGAGTGTAGAAAGTATACTTTGAACTTTATAAACCTATCTGGAGTCCGCCTCGCGGTTGGACACCTACCGTCGCGTATTATGTAGGCAGGCCATTCTCAAGAACCCACCCCCCGGGACTCAATTGGACACTCAATGGGCATGTTCATTCCTAGCTTTTGGAAAACAAATCAACTGACGAAGCTCCAGACATACCAGAACAAAACAGCAAGTGTACCCGGCATGAGTCACTTGATTCGCGGTCATACTTGCGCAGCACACTATATTTCGAAGTCCTCCGACATACTCTTGTATGATTTTTTTACGGTCGGCCCTGTTACTTTCAGAGGTGTGCCGCACTTGGAGCTACTCTTGGCCGAATCGCGTCTGCGGCCGCCGCGGCCCCCGGCTACGTCTTTGTCGGCCAATTGTTTCATGACTTTGTTGACCACAATAGCTATCTTGTTCTGCTCCTCTTTAGAATTGCCAAGATTCTTAGGCGCACCCCAACTTACTCTGACTGGTTCTTTTTTATCGAGTAGTAGTAGAGCTGCCGTCTTGGAACCTTTATGATGTCCATTAGTTTTCAAGTGTTGGGCGCAAGCTTCTGCCGAGCTCCGCTTGGCAAAAGATACGTACCCACAACGAGCCTGGTGTATAATCGTCACCAGGTCCAATGACCCGAATTTTTCGAAGAAGGACGTGATTGAATACTGTGGTGTATCAGCAGAAAACCCAAACACAAAGAACGACTTGATGGTTGTGTCTTCTGGTGAATCTATCGAGCCACCGAAAGGGAGCTTGGAGATTGTCTTGCTGAGGTCTTTGTTTGAAACCTCGAGCTCTTTTTGTTTGGGCCGAGAAACAGAGCGGCCAGACAATTTGCTCGATAAAGCTCCCAAAATCTTCTTAGCATTCTCACGCTTCTCTTCGGTGTTGGCACGTATGCCCTTACTCTGGTGTTCTAACTTATCGGCCATTATCGCATTCACCTCGGAATTTCTGGACAGGCTTTCTACCGCATATGGATTTTCCACACCTGCCATCTTCAAAGCAGCATCCCGTATATCAAGTGGAATCCCATGGTCAATGTCTACCATGCAAGATTGGCAGCAGTTGCGGGCTTGGGCGCACGTAGTACAAAGAATTGTTTTCTTCAGCTGCCTGTGTTCTCCGGCAAGACTCCATCGAAACACCGTAAAAGGTCGCGTACATATTTTGCACTGTTCGCCCAACAGCTGTCTTATCATTCGAACATGACCATTCAGACCTAAACATTGGTTGCAGAGAACAGGGACTTCCGACATTTGAAGTAAGTACACTAGGTGAGAAGCAAGATGAGTTGGCGATGACCTAGTCAATGTACCGGAAGAGCAGCTAAAGTCGTTGCACGAAAGAGCGCAAGACACCAGAAAAATTTGCGTTTAACTTCCCCAAATAGGAGCTAAGGGAAGCCGAATGTCTTTACGATATTATAGAGAGTGTCGAGTCAGTGAGCGCGACTCAAATGTGCAGATACAAGAATGATATTCGAAAATACTAAGTATTAATACTTAGTATTTTCGGGATCAAAGTAACAGATGAGATTGCAGTTTTTTATAGTGGCACGGTCAGGATAGAAAGAATAAGAGTCTTGAGTTGTTAGTAATAGTTCAGAAGACAAATTTGAAAAGGTTTATCAGTGTTAAAAAGCTCTGTATTTTTTTATCTACATGAGGTTTCAGGTGAAGAAATTCGTTGTTGTTAAATATGAATTCATCATTAAACCTGTTTGCTTCACATACCATTTGCATGAGTTGTTGGGGGAGAAAGTTGGAAGAAGAATTTTTTTATCGTTTATATAGTTCGCGGGAAAAGGTTACCCGCACCGTATTCAGCATGGGTGCAATTGCGAAAGGGCATCTTTATCTTGCTAGTCTGATCATTTGTACCGTTCAATTATATAAAGTATTGATTTTTCACAAGAACCTTTTTGAGCTCACGAATAGAAATCTGGTCTTTTTCGGAGCAAAGAAATTCAAAATGTAAAACCTTTCGAATAGCCGAATCCAAATGTACATTAAAAGTCCAAGTCGAAATAAGGGTTTCATTGGCTTTCACCGACTTCCAGACGGACAAAATACAACGAGATGCAGCTTCTTGTACGCGGGAATGAAATTTTTCCTCGTTTTCGACAAGTCGAACGAGGCTCTTGATAAAATCTCGATGTATCACCACTTCGTTACAGAAGAGATTTGACCTTTCGATCTCAAAAAGGCTATTACTGCGTTCAGACTCTAGGTTCCTCAAATTCAAGTTGATGCTGTTCTCCAACTCTTTAATGATCATCTCAAATGACTCATCGCTAAAATCCTGAACTAAGCGATCAAGAACGGTGGCCTTACTCGTTTCGGCGCACATGCCGTCAATGCTTGCCAATGCCCTTACATCTGATGAGTCGTCATTAAGTTTCTCGTAAATCAAATACCACAACTTTGCAGTGTTCGATCGTTTCGTCTCACGATCGAGAAGTACGTTCTTGCAAGCCATAACCGAATGTAGCCTACTTTCTTCAGGAAGCTCATCGACCGCAAACTTTGCAACTGAGTCGATGATATAACTTTCATCGAAAAGCGCCAGGCGAGATTCAAGAACCACGTGAAGTGTCTTCATGGAGTCGGTCCACTTAGCCATGAGATTCAAAGACTTCAGAATTTGCACTCCTGAAGTCACCAACAATTCCATACACCCAGTATTCACGTAATCCCAGGTACTATTATCATTAACCAAATCAAAAAAGACATTATGGATGTCCAGTGCCTTTTTGAATTGTTTGAGGTTTCTCTTCCAATAATTTATGACCGCAATCTGAGCTTCATAAAAGCCTGCGCTTGCATACTGTTTCGAAAGGTGTGAAACTTCCTCGAGATCCTGGCATGATTGTAAAACGGATGTGACTGCTTGCTCTAAAAACAATCTTTTTGGTCCATCCAACGTCCGCCTCTCTTCTGAGAGAATGTTTAGAATATATGACTTCAAAACTTCACAACTTTCAATAGAGACGTGATTTGTCGCAATCAAAAGTGCTGCTCTCAAGTTAACCCAGTCATGTTCGAGTTGTGCATTCATTAACCATTTTTCGACTAGAAGAACACACCGGTCCTTGTCCATTTGTGACACCCTTGTTGACTCTGTGAAGTCTCGTAGACACAACAACCTTCCATGTAATCCATTTCTCGAAACACTTTCGATAGTCATTAATTTCTTCATGATTTTGGAAGAGTTTTGGATATTTGTCATCATGCAGAGCAGTTTTGCGGCCATTTCACGAATCTTCCAGACCTTGTGGCTCAAAAATTTATCTATGATAATGTCGACAAACGAATCGAGTGTGTTGTCGTGTTCGGAAAATGCTTGTAGCCTCAGAAGAATCGATAAGACAAGAAATACATCATTTGCATTTTTTGATTCGCTGAGTTTATTCCATAGCATGCTCTTGAGCCCTGAATACTTGCTGAAAAAAAGTGACGCACTTTTTAAATCTCCCAATTTCTGTGATCCAAAGAGCTTCTCTTGTAGGACAGTGAACAACATTACGGCCCCGTTTTTTATTGCCCATGCAGAATGATCCAAATTTATCAAAGATATTTCCAACGCTTTTTCGAGATAACCCAGAGCTGCATTTGTCAAGTTTGAATCCCGGAAAATGTGTCTCATGCAGTTGAACGCATGTACCTGTGGGAGATCATTTTTCTCGTCCTCAAGTGGTGTGTACTCTATTTGAGCGACTCTAAAAAGCTCCGAGAATGTAGCTTCGACAAAAGCCTGTAGTTTCTGACGGTCAGTAATACAGGAGTTCAAAATAGCGGTGAGCAAAAATGGCAATCCTGCAGATCTTCTGGTGATAAGTTGCTCCTTTGTTTCCAAAAGTTTTAAGTTCGTCTGCAACCAAAGTAAAGGTTTGTCGTCGAGGTCAGTTTGATAACATAGCTCACAGGCTTTTACGAAAGTTGGGTATATGGCAGAGAATGTCCCTCTATGTGACAAACTGCTCAACTGTTCCATAAGAATATCGCAAATGTTTAAATAGACAGCCTGGTTTAAGACATTCCATTTGTTGGATGCATTAAGGGTCATGATATTTTTTAATAGGAATGAATTCTCCTTAACAGTTCTCCAGGCCTTAGAATCATATTCCTCTTCAATTTCTGAGGCCGGTAGAGTCATTTGTGGCTTTATTATATGCCACATTTGAAGCGATGTGTGCAACAATGAGGCAATAATTGGACTCAATTTTTGTGAATGTAGCTCAAAGAACTTCGGAGAAATCAAAGCCAAAATTTCACTAATAGCAGTAAAGTGGCCATGAATTGGGAATTCAGACTCTAGCGCAGTGTTCATCCTTGAAAGTACCATGTGCAAGCAGTCGAAAACACTATCATCACTCCCGTGTTTCATATATATTTGAGTGATGGTTTTGATGACCTGAGCACCACCGTCACTTTGCCTTCCTTTGAGAGAAGACAATAGTGACATGGTATTCTCCGCAATTTCTTCGCAATAAACGAGCTCAAAGATTTCTATTGGACAATAACAGAGCACGTAGGAGCATTTTTGTCTTACATCGTCATAGTTGTTGGTGACAAACCTCAACAAAGTCCCCGTTAACTCTTTGGTGAAGATTTCAAAGATATTCAGCCGCAGTTTCACATCCTTTTTCAAGCCTCTTTGCACTCCATCAAATTCGTATTCGACAAAAAACTTTAAGAAATCTGTCGATAATGCTAGCTGTGAATAGGAGGAGTCAGGCACGATTTGAGAGGATATAAATCCAAATATTATTTGAAGTCTTGACTTAAGAGATTGAACATCTCGCTCTAGCATCATATCTGATTTCTTAGAAAGACGTTTTTCTTGAGTTATGATAAATTCTCTGCAATTGAGAAATACTCTTCTCATCAAAGAGTGAAAATCACTTCGAGACTCGGCTGTTGTGCTTTCCTTAAAGAATATGTTTAGTATTAAAGGATCCAGAAATATATTGAGAGCATATTCTGGAGGACCTTTTGTTGCAGACACTGAAGAGCAAACCAAGGCAAGCGAGTCACGGCGACATACTTCATCGCGATGTTTCAATAAGGATGATAAGTCTTTTTCAGTCAATGCCTTGGACGCAACAGGGTCATTTTTTGGTGAGATTATGTAAGCGCAATTAAGCAATGGTAGCATGAGTATACGCCACTCGTGTGAGTCTGTCTCTATATTGAGCGATTTCACCCAACCAATAAACTCACTTGGGCATGATCTGAAGAGCTTTGGAAGGAGGTGATTAATGACATTTAATCTTTCATTCTCAGTATGGAGGGATCTTTCGACAAGAGGAGACCATGCGCAGATGTACTTCTGCGTGTCGCTTTTTGGATTGTACAAATGCGTGTAAAATGATGCAAAAGTTTTGCTGACTGAATTTGCTAGAGCTGGGGACCGAATCATTTTCATACATTTCTCCGGCAAGGATCCATATTGCCCGCAAAGTGCAGTAACGGCGTCATCTACCTCCTTCAAGAAAACTTCTGAGATATTAAAAAAGCTTTTCTGTGTCGATGGAATTGACATGATCAGCTCTGTGAGCTGAGTTGTCAAAGGCGAGTTCTTGTCTGATAAGCAAACGTGGTTGACAAATTGCAATAATTTCGTTAAAAGACCAGATGCAGCGTTCGAAAATGGGCCGTTTCCTGATTCGTATACCTGACAAACGTAGTTGAACAAATGTACCAAATGTGCAGTCAATTGGGGAAGGCAAAATCTCAGCAACAATCTTGGATCTAGCTTCAATAATTGCAAGCCTCGAGTGAACCAGATTGTCATGGTATCAAGTCCTACTACCGACCGCTTCTCTGATGAATCATCATCTGTCAAAGCCGTCAAAATGTCTGAGAAAGCAGCGATAAAAGCAGAGATATCATGGATATTGCCGGCTTTTGTTGATATAAGATTTTCTTTATAACTTTCAAAAAGAAAAGGATGTGGGCTCTCCATCATATCATTTTTGGTGTTCAACATGGGTACCGCCCTTCAGTCCAAATAAGAGACTTGTCGCAAGCCAAATGGGCATCGCATGTCCCGGGTGCGAAAAAGATGAGCGACCCAGTCTCTAGAGTAAATAGAAGCAGGAACCCCGTTTACCTTATTTCATGGGCAAATGAACAACAAATATTCTCCGATGGGCTCCTTGTGCTGAAACGTTTTTTGGCAATTAATGTGTCAGAATTTTCGAAATTTTGAAAACAAGTGGACTTTTCTCAAGAAAGCAATTGGGCATCGACATATTCCATCTGTAAGAGTGATATGAAAGACTAGCAGCTGCTTCGTAGTGTATGAAGAGTGTGTAACGACATAAAGTAACATTTCAAAGCAATAAACACCTCAATTAGTATTTTTTCGTCATTCGCTGAACTGCTTATTTTCAGTTTGGACTTCGGCCTAAAGGTGTGCTTGTTGTCGCCGCGCGGAAATGGAGTCTATCTCACTTCCCGCGGTCCGAAAAAACCCTCACTCGATTAACTACAGATAGCACAACCAAATTACCTTGCCATCAACAAGTCACCAGTAAAACAGCCGGGCTCAAACACTGCCGTTGCTTCCCCCCAAACAAAATTCGCACTATTCTCCCATAATGGCCCAAGCTTCACAAAATAAACTATGGAATTTATACTATCATCACTTTCCCTTCTATATGTTGACAGGGCCCGAGGGTGCCTTCTTGCATCTTTTCATCATCTCGTTTCTTTCATTTGTGGTATATGGTTTGTATAGCGTTATCCCAACGTATGTCCCCTTCTTGATCTCAAGAAGTTACTACTATTTGACGGGTGGAGACTATTAGGTATTTTGTATAGGTCGGTTAATATTATGGTTTGTTCACAGTCCTTGTATGATTGCTTCCGTAAAGCTTCGTCACATCAACCGTCGGAAACAAAGATGAATTACAGACCTTTTTTTCCTTCGTAATTTGGAGCCGGAACTAAACTTTTCCATTTTTCTGTCTTCAACAAGGGTATTTGGACTCAATCTTGCTCCTCGTTCAAATCTGTATTTGGCTTGAGATCGACGCCAGTCGCGTCTCGCCCTTCTCCTACGCCTTTGTTTGATATGTACAAAAAACCCAATGCCCCGTTCAAGCCTCCGAGACCAATAGGTGCTGGCCTGAATGCCTCTGTAGCCGAATCTTCTGGTGATAAAAACCAACTTTTTGTCCCTGACTCAGATTTTCAGGAAACCGAGTCGTCCCAAAATCGGCCATTCAAAGACACAGAATCGCAGCAAAAGCACACTATAAAACACCAAAAACCAGCATTGAAACGCGTCAAGCGGAACCCTGCACTTCTCAGACGCGTTGGGTCTCAAGAAAAGGCATCATTTGATGGATTTATGCAAAATTTTCCTTCGAGTCCACCCAATTCATCCGGAGCAAACTCGACGTCGGATGTGCAAGAGCAACTGCCGACGTCAGAGAAGAGATATTACACTGTGCAGTGGCGCAAACGAAGCAACAAAAAAAACAAGTCCTGGGAAGGTGATGGATTTATTGTGGCTTCGGACACGGGTCTCGCCCTAAGGATTCAGATGCCCGATGAGTCCTATAAGCTCGTGAGCCGTACCAAGAACACAACTTTAGAGGGTATCATATCCATTGGAGTATATGAGATTGAAATTGACTGTGAAACTACTAGAGAATGTCTCTTTGGTACCAGTAACACTGTAAACAGCAACCTTGTTCCACCCCATACAATCCACGATCCGCCTTCAACGGTCGCCTTCAAGAATCACGCTGTGAGAAATAGTTTTGCCTCTCCATCAAAAGAAGATGAGGCTAAAGAATTGGAGGCTATAGAGGCTGAAGCTAAAGAAGTGGCTGGAAGTTTTGATATAAATAAAATGCCTTCGCCACCTGAGTTGCCGATTGATTCTTTTGCGCTTCCCTCCTTGAATATTCCACACTCAAAACAAGTACTCGTGGATAAAAGATTAACAAAATACCTACGTCGCCATCAGAAAGAAGGCGTGGCATTCCTTTACGAATGTCTCATGGGAATGCGCAACGTAAATCAATATGGTGCCTTGTTGGCAGATGAGATGGGCCTTGGAAAAACATTGATGACGATCACACTCATTTGGACTCTTCTTAAACAGTCGCCAATTCCGAACGATAAAAACGTTATCAATAAAGTTCTAATTTGCTGTCCAGTCAGTCTAATTGAGAACTGGCGCAAAGAGTTCGGAAAATGGCTTGATCTTAACCGTATTGGTATCTTGGCATTAAGCAATAAAAGCCAATCTGCCGCCAAGGACAAACAAGCTATTATAAACTTTGGGAGAACAAAAGTATACCAAGTGTTGATAATGAATTACGAGAAAGTTCTTGCTTGCTCCAGTGAATTGTCCACTGTAAATGTCGATCTCTTGGTTTGTGATGAGGGACATAGACTTAAAAGCTCAGCGAACAAAGTCCTTAAATTCTTGAATGGCTTGTCAGTCCTGAGGCGTCTCGTGCTTACGGGAACTCCTATTCAGAACGATTTGAATGAATTTTTTAACGTCGCAAATTTTATAAACCCTGGTCTCTTGGGAACAGTGGCTGAGTTTCAGAAAAATTTTCTAAAACCAATTTTGAGGGCTAGAGACGTCAATTGCTACGACTCAAATATTGCTCAAGAAGGAAAGGAGAAATCCAACGCATTAATTGAGATCACAAAGTCTTTCACAATCCGGAGAACAAAGGCAGTCATAGAAGAATACTTAACCGCAAAGACTGACCTACTTCTTTTCTGTCCGCCATCGCATCTTCAAAAAAGGCTATTTCAATTCGTGATAGACTCGATGGGCTTCAAGTCGCTCATCAGCTCGGGAAGTCGAGAAGTATTGCCAATCATCAATCTCCTTCGAAAAATTTGTAATTCACCATCGCTTCTAGCCAAAGACTCTTTTTACAAATCTTTGATCGAAAGAAATTCGCAAGTCCCCTCGGATATCACACCCTCTGCGTTGGCTAGTAGAACAACGGGGAGTAAGATCAATATTGCTATCCCACTATTGATACAATTCAGGAATGCTGAAGAGAGTGTTGTTTTGGTGTCCAATTACACACAAACTCTTGATCTTTTGGAGCGCGTTCTTCTGAAGCTAAATTTTCTGTATTCTCGGTTGGATGGATCGACGCCACTGGCTACTAGAGACAGCCTCGTGACATCTTTCAACAGATCCAAAAAATGCGAGGTTTTTCTTCTATCTGCCAAAGCAGGAGGAGTTGGGCTAAACCTTATTGGAGCTTCGAGATTGATTCTCTTTGACAATGATTGGAATCCTCTGGTAGATTTACAAGCAATGGCTCGTATTCACAGAGATGGACAACAAAAGCCTGTTTTCATATACCGTCTCTTTACAACAGGCTCAATAGATGAGAAAATTTTTCAGCGCCAGCTCATGAAAAACAATTTGAGCGACATGTTTATGGATGACAGTGTCGAATCAACTCTGAATATTTTTGATTACGATGATTTACGTGATTTATTCACTGTTGTGGATTCCAATTGCAATACTCATGACCTAATTGGCTGTGACTGTTTCGGTCTTGGAAATGATATTCATTCACCTCAGCCCGAACCGCAAAATAAATTATCAGGACCTGACTTGTCTTCCCAGAATTGTTTATCTGATTCCTTGCCAGCACATCGTACATCTTCATCTGGCTTTTTGAGTGCATTGGAATATAAAGAGTTGGATCAAACTAGCACTGTCAAAAAGCAAACAATAAGGTCGGCTCTTTCACAATATAGGCATTTCGATCCACAGAAGTTTCATGATCAGATGAATACAGGTGATGAAATTCTCAATTCGATAATTCCAAAAGCGCAAGGTGATCTCACATACGTTTTTACCCACAAAAAATTGAGTGCCAACAACAGCCTGTCGGTGTAACACTGGTTTCACTTTAGATACTTCGTGCACTAGCTATCCATCACCTCGAAAAGTTTTGCAGAATTATTGTCTGAAGGATCCTTTTGAATAAAATAAAACTATATGTGTATGTACAAGAATTGGTGTTTTATGCACTAATTGAGTGTCAAGAAAGGGATATATTCTCTTCATCGGGAAAGTATGTTTGTGTATCTGATTTAGAAGCGTTAGATTTGGTGTGCTCAATTTTTGATCCGACATCATTCTCTGTCTTCTCCCTTTGTTGGTTCGAAGCTCTTGGTAATTTCTTGTTCGTGATAAATGACCCCGCCCACAGAAATGGCAGCAAAAGCAAAATTCATGTAAAAAACATTTCTAATAGCTTTCATTACTTGCTCTTTGACGAAAGCCCTTGTTTCAGGTGTCATTCCTTGAATAATATCGGACGAAGAAGTGATCGATTTTAAGTCATAATGAGAGAGCTCTGTAATCACACTTTGCGGTTGAGATTTCAAGGCAACACCAATTTCGTTGTTGAATGATACGCCATAGACTGCGTCTGCAAGAGCTCCCGAAAACGCTCCACCAAAAGAACGCAAAAAGTTGATTAGAGTAGTTGCCAAGATAACACCACCCGGTGTTTTTGGTGCAGTTATTTGACCAGCCATCATTGCAGATTGCATTTGAGACCCAACACCAACACCTGTGCAGATCAATAGTCCGATCTTTTGGGACGAGCTAGAATTCACCTCTAGTAAAGTGATTAGTCCACAGCCAATGAAGCCGAACATCACTCCAAAAATTGCCACTGGCTTAACTAAAGTTGTCTTCTTCACAAACAAACCAGATCCAATAGAAAAAACAACCACTGCAATTATAAGAGGTAGCAAATCAATACCCGATTGCCAAGCAGAAGCGTCATGAATGACCTGAAAGTATATCGACAAGTACAAAACGCTCGCAATAAAGTAACCAAATGTTCCAAACAATTGCACAGACGCAGCGAATGTTGGCCATGCTAATACAACATCTGCTGGAATAAGAGGATGCTTTGAAAAGAGAAAATTCCAAATGCAAAATGTTATTGTCAAAAGACCGCCAAGAACAAAACAGCTAATCACAGCCGCTGAGTCCCAGGAGTGCAGACTATCGGCACCAAAGGTCAATGCCAAAAGTACCAACACTAAGCTTGAAGCCACTAAAATAACCCCCAAATAGTCTATGAGGACGAGTTTCTCTGAAATTTTGGTTTTTGTCTTGGGAGGGTTAAAGACCAAAACAAACACAACCAACGCAACAGCACCAATTGGTAAGTTAATGTAAAAACACCATCTCCAAGAGACATTAGTGGTGAATGCACCTCCAACCAATGGACCAACAACCGAAGCAACCGCGAAAGTAGTACCAAGAATGGCGATTCCCATGGGTCTTCTGTGTATTGGAAACACCTCCGTGATGACAATAAACACTTAAGTCTGGATGCCTCCTCCACCAACACCAGCAAGTACTCTGCCTCCGATGAGGACATTCATGCTATTGGATAGAGCGCACATTAGAGAACCAGCTTCAAAAAGAACAATTGACGCGACCATGGCGGACTTCCTGCCAAATATAATAGCTAGTTTACCCCAGACCAATACAAGAACGGACATTGAAATAAGAAATCCGGACGTTAGCCAACCAATTTTGTCTGTGGCATTAAATTTGTTACCCACGGTCGATAAGAGTGTGGTGACAATAAGTTGATCCAAGGCAAACAAAAACATGCAAAGAAAAAGTGAAAGAACACACAAAGCCAACTTCACTCCTGTCAAATAAAAATCTTCTCTTCGGGTTCCATCTCCAGCATCGGCTTCAATAAAAATCTGAGAGTCATTTAGTGTGGATCTTAAGTCTACCTGGTCTGTTGCCGAAGTTGCTGATAAAAGATCAGACATTATTTTATTTTATCAATATCGACAAAAAACGGTAGAAAGAAAAGTTGAGATAAAACTCCACTCTTATATGGAGTGCTTGGATAGGTGGCAATAGATGCATGTAAACTTTTAAATACATTTGCAGCTCGTGTCATTCGGTCTCCGCTTCCGTTTCACTTCCCAGCACCTCCGGTGACATATCAATGCATGCCCTGCATATTTTGGAATATATCAATCAATCAGAACAGAAATTCCAAGATTTGGGTGGAGATATATTGAACTCTTTTGTATTGTATTTGCATCAATCTAAACAAAATTTAAACCACTCGAATTAAAGTTCTCTTGTAAGTCGATTGTTTTTTTACCGTTATCGCCTCGGGAAATGAAAAGCCGTGTGAAAGCTCCGAGACGGACAGAACCAATTTAGGTAATCTCCGCGTCTCTTATTATTCTCCGCTGCATGGCAGTGCGGATTTTTATTCTTGTTTTTAAGGGATGGGTAATATTTCAGCTGTCAAGAGTGAATACAAGTTGTGGAAATCACAGTACTGCTTTCGTAAAATGACGCTAATAAAGCTTTCCGAAATTCCAGAAGAGTTCAGAAAAATGAGGTTTTTTTTGTTGCAGAAGAATTCCAGGCGCAAGCCGTTCTAAATCTTAATCTATTATACCTGTTTCTCACAAAAGTTGGTAAAAAGAGCCGAATATTTGAATATGAAAGCACACTTGAGAAACTATATATAAAATCGACGTCAAAAAATTGACAATTTATATTGCAGACACTCACTCTTATTTCGTACAGATGATTAATAGGATGCACCTTTCTTTTAACGTCAAATTTGACACCTTCTCACATTCTTATTACTGTACACCCTTTCATCGCAGTCAAAAAAAAAAAAAAACCTAATTTGAAAGGCAATTTCCCGACAATTGGCCTTTTTTTTTTTGAAAAGAGGAGTGTACCTAATTTCATCTCAAATTGGCCTCATATAACCATGAATCTTCCTAACTTTCATCGTGGTCAGTGGGGCTACACGGGACAAAACACCTCAAAGGCTTCTACAATATTCACACATTCAATTGATCTATTGTCCACCTCTCTTCATTCTTGCTTCGGCTGCCCGTGCTCTCTGTTCGCGCATCAATCTCATTTTCTGTTGGTCTGTCAACCCACTTGTTTCCGCCACAGAGGTAAACACTTTTTCCCCACCAACTCTCCCACTAGATTGGACTGTGGGTCTCTTCATCTCTAGATCAGTCTTTTTTGCTAGTTCTTCTTCAATTAAGCGTCTGTTTTCGGCTTTTTGTGCCTCTTTTTCCTTTGCGTTTTCAGCAGCAACCAGTTCGCTGGATTTTGGTGGTCCTACTTTAGCCAGATCCCAGTTACAGTAATCCTCTCCCAAGTTATGCCTGCAAATTTGGAACACACTCTTTATATCCTTAGAAGTGCTGACTTGATATGCAGTTTTTCCACTGATGTTGTACATTGTAGGATCTGCTTTCATGTTCATCAAAAGTAGTTTTACCATACGTTGAAGGCCTTGCCATGCCGCATAATGAAGAGGTGTTGGCGTATGACCATAGCGACTCTCCGGGGTAAGTATGAAGTTAATGTCTAAGTCATTGCTTTTCATATAATTCACCAAGAGTGGGGCTTTAGACTTCTTCAAAAGCGCTACGACCTCTCGAGAATGTTTGTCGGAATCCGGTTCCTCGGCAGGTTCCGGTGTCTTTAGTTTTTTTTCCTCTTTGGTCTGCTTTTCGACAATCGTTTTTGCCTTTGGAAGGTCCAATACGCTGAGATACGTGAGCTTTACCCAAGAGTTCTTTACTTCACCAAGAGTAGCTCGCTTTGTTGTGAACGGAAAGGATTTGACCCTTGGATCATCCTGATTCAAAATGCTTCCTTCATAGCCCATTAAGGTTTTTCTGCTGTCAGTGCCGTTGGCTCTGATGAAGATGTGCTCTGCTTGTGTCAAGTATGATTTCCATGATGAAAGCAAGTCATGCACATCCTTTTTTAAGGCCTGCTCGTTATATCTACGAATGCTTGATCCAGCCGAGTTTGCCTTGCCTCTAGCATTATCTGAAGCACTTTGAGAGCCACCCTGTTTACGCCTGGTCGTGTAACGGTGAAATGTCTTCAGCTCGAGCACCGTAACTCTCTGAGCCTGTAGTGACTCTTTGTGATTTTTGATGTTTCCCTTGGTGTTTGCAAGCTTATGAGAGATCACTGCGCCAGCAAAATGACCCCCTCCGATCATCAAAAGAACAGAAATTCCTTGCTTAGACTTGGCAGAGTTGTAGCTTTTCAATTTTTCCACGATATCACCATTGCTTAGAGTAGTGTTATCGAATAGGGCTTTGTAAGCACCAAAGCCCTTTGAACTCTCTAATTTTGAGGACTTAAGTATGACAAACGGCGAGTGCGTGTTCATGTGACTTGCATGGCTCTCCTCTAGTTCCTCCATCTTGTTTTCATTTACAGATAGTTTCTCAAAGACTGTCGGAAGCCGTTGCTCAAACTCAATGTCTGAATCGGAATCGGAATCTTCAGATCCTGATATACTCTCAACCGATTGTGTTTCAAGAAACTCCTCAAATTCAGCCTCGGTCAACGGAACTAAACCATTGAGTGACCGCTTTAAGTTGAGACGGTGTATATCGGATTTGTAGTGTCTGTTTCTTTCTTTTTGAGTTGCATCACTGCTGAATTCAAGCTTGCATGTTAAACATTCACTGAGATCTTTCACTTTGGTTGCCGTTTGCGTCTCTGAAATTTGTTCTGCGACTTTCACTGGGGCCACATCCACGACAGACAAAGACTCATCAAAATGAAGAAGTTGCAAGGAATCCAAGAGATCAGGTTTGAGGTCGAAAATGTAATGCTCGTCTTTGTTCATATTCATTGTACGTACTAAAGCATGTCTGTAGGCGTCCGCAAGTGCTCATTTCATAGAACCACTAGTACACAGGTCAGAAGCAGATCATTGATTTTCATACAAAGCTCTGAAGCTTAGACAGAGTCTAGTATGAAGAAATGGTTTGTCTCCATTTGCCCTCTTATGGGCATTTTTTTACGAAGACGCTGGGGCCCTATGTCTCTACATAGATAATATTGAGGGTGCAATTTTATTTATTACGACTCCCTCGAATTCATAGCTGCCATCAGTGGTAAAGCAATGCTACTGAAATTTTTATACCCCTCATGAGCTTAATAGAAGAAAAAAACAGTCTCTGAGGGAAATTTCTTAGAGTTGAAATTCATTGAAGATCAGGGGCTGGTTTTTGAACTAAGCGATTTTTTGGGTCTAAATTTGAACATGTCATTCGTTAATTATTTGAAACTTACTTGGTTTTTTTTAATGAAAGTTGCGAATTATCTAGAAAAAAACAAATTAGAAAGGGGTTTCAAAATCCAAGACCGACTCACTGATAATTTAAACCCATTTTCAAAGCTTCTTTGGATTGAGTTTCATTCTAATCATCATACTGAGAAGAAATTCACAGCGGTGTTTTCCCTGATCAAAATATTATTTACTCCTCTGGACATGGATACGAGTGCTGTCTTATTGGTTTCGCGAACCGATCTGCTTGGTTGTCTTACCTGTATTATATGTAACGTTCATTACTCGTATGTACAAACTTTGCAGACTCGGTTCAGTTATAAGGAGCCAAATCTGTGGCACTCTTTTAAGAAGTGGCCTACCTTCTCGGGCTTCATGAATGGGTGGGTGCCATGGCCAAAATTGATGATGTAGTTTTGCTTTCCACCCCCAAAACCCTTGATCATCTCCTCCACTTTTTGAGAAATGACTTCGTCAGACCCATACATAATGCCAGGGTCCAAGTTACCCTGCAAGGTGATTCTGCGGCCGTTAACGACCTTCACAGCATCTTCTGGTCTGTACAACCAGTCAAGCGAAACAGTGTCATAGCCAGATTCACACAAGTCGTCCAACGCATACCACGCGCCCTTGGCAAACACGGTGAGGGGGATCTTCTCGGAGACGCCCAACTCGGTCAATCTGGCAGGCAATTTTTGGGCAATCTGGCGCAAGTACGGCAAGCAGAACTCGTTGAACTCGCGAGGACCCAACTCCCCGGCCCAAGACTCGAAGACCTGCAACATCTGAGCACCAGCAACCACCTGCTGGGCCAAGAACTCAATGCACGCGTCGGTAATGGCCTGCAACAAGGCGTGGGACTCCCTCGTGAACTCGTAAATCCACTGCTTGGCAAAGCGGAACATCTTGGACCCCTGGCCCTCGGTCATGTACACCAACAAAGTCCACGGGGCACCGCAGAAACCCAAAAGAGGAACCCGGCCGTTCAACTTTGTTCTGGTGAGCGTGATGGCCTTGAAAGCCCAGTCCAACTCCTTCATGATGTCTGGCTTCATGACCACACGCTTGAGATCATCGGGGGACCTCAATGGGTCCACGAAGACCGGGCCCTTGCCCTCCACCATCTCGATCTCGAAGCCCATGGCTTGCGGAATGACCAAGATATCACTGAAAATGATGGCGGCATCGATCAACCCGTCGAAGTGGTCTACGGGCTGGATGGTGATCTCCGCGGCGATCTCGGCATCCCTACACGTCTCGAAGAAATCGCGCTTGCCTTTGACCTCATGGTACTCTGGCAAGTATCTGCCGGCTTGTCTCTGGATAGGTTAGTATGGCCGCGGCGAGGCCTCGTTTTTCGAGTGGCAAACCTGGGACCCCAGGCACCGCAAATAGCACACGTACCATGATCCAGATCGGTGGTCTTTCGACCTTCTCGCCCTTGGCGGCTCTCAAAATGAGGTCGTTCTTCAAAGGGGCGAAAGTCATTGCAGAACGGCGTGACGACGGGCGTTTGCCCATCGCTTTTTCGCCGTCGTCACCTGCCCTGCCGGGGCCGGGCAGGCCCACGCCCTGGTGCACGGGTGTATGGCCCGTGCCCTGTTCCACGCCTTCTCTGACCGCCCGAGGAATCGTGGCGCAAAAGACGGTTTCGAGCACCAGGAGCAGGCCCTGGAGTGCCTGGTACAATAGGGCTTGTGCCATGGTGTGCTGCTTTCGATGCAACGGCCTCTGTCTCGGAGCCGAAGTTCTGCGTGCGGAGCTTTCAGGCCAAGTTCGCGCACCACGCCGGCCGGTGCGCTGGCTGGGGCCTTCCCAGATCTGTAGATAAGCCCTGCGGCGGCCTGGCTCCCCATGCAGAGCCTGCCACCTTCGCGGCCTATTCCCCCAGAGAATTATAAATCTCATCCACATCCCCCCACAGAAGTCTCGACCCTATCAAGTCATGTCCACACATAGTGAGCCTGACCCCAATCGGGGACCCACGGAGACCGAGGCGCCCCGGATCCGCAGCGTTGCGGGCTCAGAGCCGGCTGCTCCTCGCCTGCCCAATTGGTTCGTGCGTGCTGTGCGTGCCATGTTTGGGTATCGCAAGACGTCGTTGACCTTCTTGGTCTTTGCCACGTTGCTCGCCACGGTCGTGCTTTCCGCGGCAGACAACTCGCTCGAATATACCGTGGACTTGCCCGCCGACGCATTCGAAAGGGCCGTGCTCGACTATTCGTGGTCTGTTCTCCAGGAGATTGGCGCCCACGAACACACGTACACATCGAGAAACAACGACAAGGTCCACGCCTTCTTGGAGAAGGAAATCGTGGGTCTCACGGGGAGCTCGGCGTTCATGGAGTACGACAATGACCTCAACTACACGAACAACATCATGTTCGCCGTCAAGTATCTCAACTACGACTCGGTGTCGTACTACGAGAGCAACAATTTGTTGGTGCGTGTCAATGGAACCGACGACTCCTTGCCTGCGCTTTTGCTCAGCTCTCACTATGACTCCGTGCCATCTGCGTTTGGAATCACCGATGACGGGATGGGCGTGGCGTCCATGATGGGGCTCTTGAAGTACTTCGCCGCGGAAGGCACCCCACGGCCCAAGCGTACCATCGTCTTCAACTTCAATAACAACGAGGAGTTCGGGCTTTACGGAGCGCACTCGTTCCTCAAGCACCCTTGGTTTTCTCAGATCCGCTACTTTTTGAACTTGGAAGGCACGGGGGCCGGAGGGAAGGCTATTTTGTTCCGAGGCACCGACTACGGCATCGTGAAACACTTCTCCTCCGTTAGATATCCGTTTGCCACTTCTTTGTTTCAGCAAGGTTTCAACAACAGACTCATCCACAGCGAGACAGACTATTCTGTCTACAAGGATAAGGGCGGCATCAGGGGCTTGGACTTGGCTTTCTACAAACCTAGAGATCTCTACCACACGGCAGGTGACAATATCAAAAACGTCAACGTTAAGTCTTTGTGGCACATGCTTTCCTCGGCCTTAGATTTCACAGTCCACGTGGTGGAGGATGAAATCGACTTGGATCGCTCGCCGCAGCCGGTGAAATTCGACGATTTCTCGGCGTACACATCATTCATGAATGTCTTCTTCGCTGCTCCAATCTCGAAAATTGTTGTTCTCAATATTGCGCTTCTTGTCGTGGCCCCCATTATATCACTTCTTTTACTCATCGTCATTTTTAATGGCCGCAAAGCCTGGAATTTCAACTTTGTCAACGTTATGAAATTTCCTTTATCCTTCGTTGTTTCCGTCGCTATATTAAGCTTTTGTTTTGATGTGTTTGTCATCCCAAACAATGTTTTCTTGGCCAATAACTCCATCATTAGCCTCGCTGCAACTTTATTTGCTTCTTTTTTGTTGTTGAACTATGCAATTTTAAATGGAATTAATGCTCTTTTAGGAAGCTGCAAAGGTCACCAACATGACGAGAAACTCATCGTTATCCTCGAAACCAGCTCTCTATACTGGGTGGCGTTGCTCTGGTCGACCATCAAGCTCTCTAAAAATAGAATTGGCAATGACCACACCGGAGAGTTTCTTGTCCCCGTTCTTTTTATACTCCATTCTTTTGCTGCCATCCTTGGATTGGTGGGCTGGAGTTTCAAAAAATCACTTAAGAAACAACGCACCGGCAACCATGATGACCGCCAGCCTCTTTTGCACAATGTCAGCGAACGGCAGTACGGTCTGAATGATATTGACTCTTATGCAGAGTCCTCATCTTTGTCCTTGAACTCAGAGGCTGAGGGAGTATGTGACATACATCATGAGAAATCATTCTCATATGACTGGCTCATCCAATTCTTAATCATCGTACCTATTTCTTCATATGCCATTTACAACTCCGGCTTCTTGATATTGGATGGAATCAACAAATCAATTCAGGAGTCCCTTGCAGCTCAAGAAATGATCTACAAATTCTTGAAAACATTTGCTATTGTCTGGTCTATCCCTTTTTTGCCATTCATCTTTAAAGTCAACAAAATAATGGTTTTAGTTCTTTTTGTTGTACTTGTCCATGGGCTTGTCATGGTAGCTGTGAGATCGCCTTTTGACCAATCAAACCCTTTGAAACTAAGATTCCTCGAGACAATCGACTTGGATACGAGCCCGCCTTCTAATGAAATTTCGGTAAGTGGTCGCCTGTCATCTTTGGTTGAGTCAATTCTCAGGGATATGCCATCTTTTAAGGCTGATAAAAGTAATATGACAACAACTGATGTTGGTGATGGTATGCTGATCTATTCTTGGAACTCTCCTTTGCACCCACATTTGATGCCCAATTTGAAACTGCCAGATCAGCTTCTCTCCATTGACGTGCTCAAGAACTCATCCTCCATATCTGATGCTCCTTTTGGTATGCTCACAGGTGAAATAAAAATCAACGTGCCGAAAAACCGAAACTGCAAGGTGGATTTCAAAATCTCCGATTCATTAGTGAGGATAATGGACGGGCAGCAATCACAGAAATCTCACTCCCCTGTGAAGAGCGTGACAGTTTATACCGATAAAAAGCCCAACAACAAGACTAACTTTATTAAAGGGGGGTTTGCTGAAAGCTTTTCGAAAGATGCGAACGGCAACTACGTTTTTAAGGACTTTGAGGGAATCAATCAGCTTCAATTGAACAAACTTGATTGGGATAAGCCTTATCATTTAGGTTTTCAATGGATTCCAGATGTTGCAGAAAACTCGTATCACAGCGAAATCCTGAAAATTGACGTCAAGAAATTGGGAGTTTCAATCGAGTGTTACTGGAGCGAGCTAGAGTATGTCTTTTCCGGGCCTGGACTGAGCCTGGAATCAGAATTTTCAATTCCCGCATATGATGAGCTTCTACACTACAGCCCAAATTATGTGAGTTGGGCGAATAAAGATAGAGGACTCGTCTCTGTGAAGAAGTATGTGGAGTTGTAGCCAATTCCAGGAAGAGGTATCCAAGTATGTAAAATTAATAGAAAACGTAGAATCCTACTGAACTACTTTCCAATTTTTTTAATTTTCCGCTTGAAACAAGCTAGAAAAAAAGTTAAACACGCCAACTGTAGACACACATGTTGCGATACTGCAAAAATTAGGATATATTGCTAAACAACAAAACCCTTTCCAAAAAAATTGCGATTTCTGTGGATCGAACACAGGACCTTCAGATCTTCAGTCTGACGCTCTCCCAACTGAGCTAAAGCCGCTTTCAGAACCCATGCCGGGACTCGAACCCGGAATCTTTTGATTAGAAGTCAAATGCGCTAACCATTACGCCACACAGGCTGATCGTGGTTGTAATAATAGTGGATTATATAGACGAAACACACAGGAGGAGCGACCATATCCTTTTTTTGTAGGAAAGGTTACGGGGAATAAAGCTAGCTTAGAAAGATCAGTTGCCTGATAAGACACTGTATGCACTCAATACAACCTGGTAAGGGCCATGCAGCCCACAACTCATTGGAGAACTTAACAAAATTCAATTGGTTCGTCACCACGATTTTCATGGTTTCAAGGTTTACACCAGAAGGCGTGGCAAGTCGCAGGAAGTTGGCTCCTTGAGGCCGCTACAACCATCTGAGTTGAAGTGACTACTACAGGAGACCTATCCTAGGAGTCGATGACGTAATATCCAATACGTAAACAGATACGGGCCATGAGGGCCGTCCAGGCCGGACGAGCTAAGACACTTAGTACGTAGCTGGGAGCCGTTAAAAGGTTTTTTTTATATATTATTTATATAGTGTTGCCCCTTTTAATCAGATGAATCTACCAAAAAAAAAAGCCGAAGAGTCCAGCTCAGTTGCAACACAAGGTCCAGAGGCTGGGCAAACGATGGACAACAAAGGTTTTTTTTATATATTATTCATATGCTTTTGCTCCTTTAATCAGAATAATCGATCAAAAATATAAGAAGAAAGTTGTCCGTATGGTACAGCGGCTTAGACATCACGAACAATTTTTTTTTAAGAAACATCATATTATAGGGTGTCATTGAAGGGCTATAAAACCCTACCACTAGCAGAAACTATTAAGAAAAAAAACTTGTAATGGATCGCAACTCGGCTCAGGTGAGAAGGTGCGAGCACCAATTCACGAAACCTACCAAAGAGAATGTGACACTCCTTAAAAAGATTTCTGCCCATATCCAGTGTCAACCCCTTGAATTCATTTTGTTAGACTCATCTGATGAATGGAGCAAATCCATACAACTGAAATATAAATATATATATACATAACCTTGAGACAGCTCCCAGCTACGTGCAAAGTGTCGAAACATGGTCCGTCTCCTTACGTTAGTCACACGGCCTGGACGGTCTTCTTAGCCTGTGTCTGTTAATGTATTGAATATTAAGCTTTCGATTCCTAGAATAAGTCTCCTGTAGTAGTCGCTTCAACTCAAATGGTTGTAGCGGACTTAAGGAGCCAACTTCCTGCGACTCGCCACGCCTTCTGGTGTAGAACTTGAAAATCGTGGTGACGAACCAATGTTAAATTCTCCAAAGAGTTGTCGGCTGGGGCCAACATTGAGCTCAAGCTCATGGGCTTGGTAAATTTTAGCTCTTGCCACCAGTATTTGGATGTTTCGCAGTTGTTGTAGATATGGCTTAGGAAAGCGTCGGTGGGAGTTGTTGCTCCGTTTTTCAATACCAAGGAGCATTACTTTATTATCCTGGATATACAAATATAAAGAATTTCATCTGGAAATTTTACTATAGAAAATATACGGGGTGCTACTAAATCATTACTGACTAATTTGTTGATCACAACATCCAGGGAATGTAACAGTTCTTCCCCGAGGATGTTACCATCCTCTGGGATTAGTCTGTTAGTCACGTGGCACGTTAGTAGAATGTGCTCGTGACGTCCGGCATATAGTATATGCCGGACGGAGAGAAGTGAATATGAAGGTGATTGAACACCCTGTTAGTTAGAAGGGTAAGCCTTATTACATAAGAGTAGATCATCTTAATAAAGGTTACTCTCCGTTACTACCGTACGCTTCCGGTATCAATATTACTAGGATAAGCTTTTCAGTCTTATCCTCCGAGCCAACGGCCTATCCCGTGTCAGGCGACCTATCTCGCCTAGACAGCTCTATTATCCCGTGGCCTTTCCCACAAGTAAGAGTTAATAACCTCTGAAAGATCCAGTTACGAATGAGATACGGAAAGTAACTTAACAGGGAATAAGGGAGGGTTGGCCGAGTGGTCTAAGGCGGGTGACTTAAGATCATCTGGACGTTTGTCCGCGCGAGTTCGAACCTCGCATCCTTCATTATTAATTTTTACCCTGTTAATTCAATTTTTTTTTTTATTCAGGTTTGTTCATGCGTTCTATTTCCAGTGCTTCAAGTTTAAATCTAGGGGAAGACTGGTACTCGTGGACGAGTATGACCTTTTTCGGATGTGGGGTGAAATTGCAAGCCCTAGCCTCAAATCCTTTGGTCAGATTCGAAAGTACTGCTAAGCTCAGTTCAGAATTGCACATCTGAAAAGGCATGTACAGACTTTGCTGAAATTATGTCGACAGTTTTTAAAATATTAAATGTCTAAGAAATGGACAGTCTATATCATTGTGCAACAAAATGCGATCTTTAGGGTGTGCTTTCCCGGCCGCTGACGTCGAAATTACATATAAAATAAATAGTTGCTTTCGAACCATGAGGAAGGGTTCACAATTGGTTCAGGTAATTCATATTAGAGCAAATATCGTCACTGTGCTTCGCATGAAAAATAGAAAGGGTCGACAAAAAAAAACCTGCGACATTTAATCTATGGTGATCACGTCTCTATGATACCTCACTGTATCTTAAACATATCTCGTTATCACTGTATGTGAATGCGGCCTAGATAATTCTTGCAAATCCCTCTCAATCATATGAAAAATTTCAGTGTTTTTATTTCACCCAGGTCATAGTAGTTCTAGCGAATTCGCAGAGTTTCGATGAATTCACCTCAATGACGTTACTCCACTGCAACCATCCTGCGGTACCCGCATATTACTGTATACAGCGCGTATATCAAGCATTGCTGTATTAAGGTTGCTGTGTTTCGAGGCCTTCAGCTGATGGATTCATGGCTATATAAATACTCTAATGTCCTCACCCTCTGTGTTGTCCCATTAACAGTATCGAGTCTCATTGCGAAAACTTAAAACTCTTTCTGATTGCACATTTCCACAAACTTCATATATAATGGCTACCCCACACAAGCTCTTTTACAAAGGTGACAACAGCGACTTCGTCGTTTTTATTGAGGACCCTGCTGTCCTTGCAAAGTACCAGGCTGGTGACACAACTCTTCCCTTGATTGATGTTGTATCAATTTACAAAGTTTTTGTCAATAGACAAGGTGGTGTTGAGGGTGTCTTAGACGAGGCATCGAAGGAGGAGATCCAAAACGAATTCGGCAAATCAGCCAATGTCGACACTGCCATTAAAATGATCTTGGAGAAAGGCGAAGACAAGCAGGGTGCCGGCCGCTTTACTGCCCCATCGAGCCTGAACTAATGACTCATGAGTATAACGACCAATCCAATCAAAGCACATAGCAATAAATTACCGAATTAAATTCTCACCGGTCGAACTCGCACTCATATTCCGACCATAGGTAGAGCCCGAGTGTGACATTTTTGCCTTCTTTCAGCTTTCAAATAGCACTTGAGCTGTTTTCGTGAAACTAATTCTGAGTTAAATTTGTCCCAAGATGCAGTTTTGCCTGACAAGGTCGGCGGTCACATATATCGTCATATGCCGCGTGCCACGTTGCCCGAAGGGCCACGAGATCGCAACGCATTCTTGAGCCTGCGCACTAACGTTTTGACTCGCAGCTATGATTCTCGGCTTCCTTATGTGAGAACTAGACGCTTAGCCCTAATTAATCATGTGACAAATGAGACATTAAAGTTCGCACCACTTACCCGGAACCAAATAGCACGACGAGTATATGAAGGGAAGAGAATTCCCTCTAGAGATCTTTTTTAGAAGGTCAGTTGACACAAAAGTGGTTTTAGTTTTTCCTAAATAAAGGTTTATTTCCACACGCTAGTACATCATGTCGAATCCGATATCTCAACTGTACCAGTTGGGAACCACTTGTGGACAGGACATTGAGTTGGAATATCCTGTACTCAAGCAGAAATACAAACAGGTTATGGGTCCTGAGCCGACCGCTGAGCACAAACGGATGCTTACATCGACTTTCGGAAAACTTCAAGATGAGAGTCTTACTAGTGTGTGGAAAATATTCTTTGAAAGAAGGATATTTGATTTTGACCAAAATGTTTTTATTTTCTAC